CTTGAACGCCCTCCCTACCGAAATCAGGATGTCCTTAAAACGCCTTGCATTCAAGAGAAAAGTTCGCGATCTTCTTCGGAGTTAATTGGCAGAATAGTCAAACGCTAGCACCCGACTGAGTAATTAAATATTTTATTAAATTTATGTAGATTTATGTATGTATGTTTACTTATGTATGTTTGTTTATATATTGTGTATGTCTCTGGACTTCAATTATGGTAATTTTAGTTTCCACCTACTGAATCATATTTCTACAGCACCTGAAGGTTGATGACTGCAATCAGAACCCGGCGCTGCGACGCCCAAGCCGGGCAAATTGCCAGCGTGCGGTGTGCCGAGTACTGACTGCAATCGCAGTGGTGACAGGCGGGACTCAATTCCCTCCTAGAGACCGAGTGCAGGTACTTCCCTAAGCAGCCGTGCCCAGAAAGGACCTTCGTCTGCCGGAAGGAAAGGGTCCCGTTCTGCCGCCCTGCCCACTCGACGATGACCAGCCGGAGCGCCTCCACGGCGGCAAAGCCAGCACGTGGAACCTCCAGCCGGGACGACCAACGAGCCATCGTGGCTCGGCGAGCGGCCTCACGCCACTCTCGGGCGGGGGCCGAATGCCGCTATCCGCCCGGAACTCAGCCGTCCGCCGATATACTTCGGCGGGCACTTCCTCCTCCAAATCCTACGGGAGTGTTCCGGCCAATGTGCACGCCGCCTCCCTCGAAACGGTGCGGTAACCGCGTATGGCTCTAACCGCCAATATCCTCTGAGGGCGCTAAAGGCGTGTCCTATTCTGAGCGGTCAGAGCCACCGCCCACACCGGTGCACCGAATAGTGCCATTGACCGGACAACCCCCGTGTATATAAAATGTTAAGACTGATTTAATGAGTATTACAGTACAGTAGCATGATAAATAGTTTCATTATAAATAAGTTAGCAATAAAAATAAAATTTGCATTATTTTTAAATAAATTTCCTAATTTCCTATATATAAATGACTTCAATTTTTGAATCAATTTATCCAATTCATGTGGACCCCTCAACGGATAAAGGCCTCCTCCATTTTGCTCCACGTCTGTCTCTCCTTTGCTTTTGTGAACCAGTTCTCACCAGCTTTTCTTACAATTTCATCAACCCATTTTTACCTCTTTTCATTTTGTTTGTTGGTCCCTGCCAGGTAGTTACTCTCGGTGTCTACTTTTCCTTGTCCATACCTGCAATATGAGCATTACGATATTAGTTTTTGACAGTGTTCCAAAGCATCTAATATTTTTGTAGTTTTTCTTATTTCTGTGCTTATTTTTCTAAGTTTTCTCTAGATGTTTAGTATACTCCGTTTTACCGCTCTCTGGCACTCTTGTATTTTGTTTTTAGTGTTATTATTGTATAACCATGTTTGGCAGCCTTACGTAAGACACGGTAGTATACATGAGTCCATAACTTTTTTCTTTAGTTTCATGGGGAGTTTCGATTTTAGGGTTTCTTTGTTGCTCCAGAATTTGTTCCAGGTTATATTAACCCATCTTTAAATCTCATTTTCGTGGAAGGAAGAACCTTAGTATATTACCAATCTTTATTGTTAATAATATTAGGAAGTAACCACAATTATATATGATTTATATACACGGACATCCGGCAAATCGCTAGCAATAACAGCTTTGAAAGCAAAAGTATTAAAATATAGAAAATAGCATATATAGTCGGTCAAAAATAGTACAGGAGCTTTTTATTAAATTATGTTTCGAATTATTGAGGATTTAAGATTTTAGAAGTTTTCAAATGATTTTCTTGGTATAATAATACTTATTAAAAATTCATTATGTTTCATTGTTTCAATTTAATAATATGCCTTAGTGCGTTTTAGTGTATGCAAAAAAAACAAGTTTGTGAAATTTTAAAGGCACCCCAGTACGACAGAATACTACTTGCACTAATTTATCTGCAACTTGTTGCAAACTGTTGAAGCCTCTTGGTTGGGAATGGCGAAGACTTCTGGCTACTTGGTGAAGTAATCCATTACAACCATGAAGTATTGTTTACATTTTCACTTTTAGTAAACGGCCCCGCTACATCTATTGCAATTCTCTCCCAGGGTGCACCAACATTGTACAATGTCAATGCACCCCTGCTACATGTATCGGGTCCCTTCACAGCCTGACAACTGCTACACTTGAGACACCAGTCTTCAACATCATCACGACAGTGAATCCAGTCGAATCCCTCCCTTATCTTTAACATTCTCTTAACTCCCATGTGGCCTCCTGAACATCCGTTATGGTAGAGTTGCAGGGTAGCCGGTATCTTAGCTTTAGGGACAACCATTTGCAGATGACAGCTATCCTCTAGCGTTTTCCCATTTAGGGCACAAGACTCCGTCCTGGATGACCAAACTATCCCATTGAGCCCAATAACTCTTCGTAGTCGAACTCATCGATCCAATATCGCTCCAGTGAGGCTTAGGAGTATCAATTTTAAGCCATTCGAGAATCGGCTTGATATCTGCATCCTCCTGCTGTGCTTGCTGTAGGTTTTCCTTCCATTCATGCTTTAGCTGCCTTTACTCCTGACGGCGAGCCTGGGCCACCTTGTCGCGATGTAAATGCTCTTCCAAGCGCCTGGCTTGATCCTCCTCACAGGGCTTGCTCCTGGAGCATCATCATTAGAGCCGCGATATCTGGGGCGCTGACGATGTGGACGGAGTGGCTTCCATTGCTGAGTACCGACCCTCCAATGTAGGCAGTTGCACCTCGAAATCGCCTCTTTTCAGCCTATTGCTGGCGCTGATTTTTTGTACGGATGCCATCCATGTCTTTGGGTAAAACCTGCATACTTTCATCCTAAATAAAAGTTATCGGTTAATATTTTATTGCACTGTATTTACTAGCACTCACTATAACAAACAAGAAATCACTATATTACTCGTTAGTCGCACTAGAAATTCACTTCGATGTTAATTCGCTGTGTCGTAAAACGATACTGTGTCGAACAACCAACACGCATCGCTTTTATAGCGATTATAGCAATTTTTATTTCGAGTCGTTAATCAAAACTTCGAAAAGAAACTCCCTCGTGAATTTAACAAGTAGTTTATTTTACCTCTGCTACTTATCTATTCAGTAACGTGCATTGCATTGTAATTCAAGAAAGCATCGTAGATATCCTTGATTAACAATTTATGACACGAGTTTTTATTTTAGACGATTACATAGCTACCTAGCATTAAAAATGAAAATTTTATATATATATATTATGCTTACAATGTTTGTCCAATACAAACCGAATCAGTAATAATGATAATAATAATAGGCTTTATTCAGATCAACTGAGCCTTATAACAATATTCTAAAACAAACATAAAAGTTACAAAACTTATTCTATTACTAGCTGACCCGGCAAACGTTGTATTGCAAATCAAAAAAAATTAGGGATGGGTCATCCTTACCATTTAGGGGTATGAAAAATAGATTTTGGCCGATTCTCAGACCTACCCGATGTGCACACAAAATTTCATGAGAATCGGTCAAGCCGTTTCGGAGGAGTACGGGAACGAACATTGTGACACGAGAATTTTATATATAAGATTCATAACTTTTTTTTGTAGATCTTTTTGGCAATCGGCAAAGGCCTCCTCCAACCTTTTCCATTCTGAACTTTCTTGAGCCACTCTGTTCGACTGTGGAACAGAGTGGAATGAAATAAGATTAAAGAATTCCACAAATACAGCAATACAAAAGGTAGGTATAGGTACAGTCAACGACGAAAGTAGATGATCAAAAACGGATTGTCAAATTGTTATAGTCTTGAAAATCATAACTTCATGAAACTTCGTCTTAAAAATCATTGTTCTCAACATTTTTTGACTCTATCTAAAACTAACGTCCAAAAGAAAATGACAGTGACATGAACAGGCGGAAAATTAGAAATTTCCCAAACAAATTGGGTGTAAATACTTCAAACACAATGTATATAAAACACTCAAAAACTTGAGATAAACAATTTATAGTCGTGTAAATGTTTAAATACACAAGTAGCAAAGTAATTGTTAGCATGAATTCTGAATGTCAGTCTAAAGTGAATAACCTCAACAGATAGACATTATGTAAACAGTGTGAGGAAATTTGTACAAAAAAAAACAATTTAAAATTGAATCACCTAGCTAAACTGTATTTTCAAATATAAAATAAAAAAAATATCTATAAATAAACGTCTTACCTTTTTAGTCATTTAAAATATTAGTTCAACCAAACAAAGAAACGAGACAGCGTTTTAAAAATGTAATATTGTAAGTATGAAAAACTTATTACGTATTATACGTGTTGGTATAGGGTTTGCCTTCTATTTACAGTGCTGTTGTCCTGTATAGTTTGCTCCCTTAGTCAGCTCTTACGACACCCAGGGGATGAATAGATGTGGTGACACTCCGTATTCTTAATCCGTCACCACACGGACGGACGGAAAATGATTGAGGGCAGAAATAAATCTACGTGTGAAAACTTAGTTTGTTCAGAGGAGAGTAAACCTCATTGCATTGAAAACAATGCTTCATTTTTCGTTTTGAATTGACAGCTTTGCATTTAAAACAGTTAAAAGACCGTCTCAGTATTCCTTATTAACCCTGCATATACCCCAGCCAACCACAGAGCTCGACTAGAAACAGATAGAGAGAACTATTTAGCATCCATATCACTTGATGCCTTTTAAAGATTGAGGCTCGTGTTCACTTTATGCTCTATGAATAAAACAGCCACAATGCCTCATCGATACTTACAAATTATTTAAATGATAGTGTTATTATCCAGAGTCCTAACATTACGTATCAACTTGGTTTCGGAATAAATTTTATCTCTCACATAATAAATTACTTATGATTCCATTTTATACAAAGCAGGCCTTATTCCCGAGGTGATAAGGTACATTTTAATATTTATAATAAACGAGATAACGAGAACGTTTATCCAACCAGTCCAGTACGACGGCAACAGCATTAAAGTTAGGTCGTTTGTTCACAATGGCTGTTCGGCTCTTTATAAAAAATGTACTGTATAAATGTGGAAACCGTGTGCATAAAACCGGTTCACGGTCAATGACACATTATCCCATTGACGACTACGTATTTGGACTGTCCAGTGAACAGCAACAGGTAAGTTATCCATTGTTTGTATTGTAAACAAAGGTAGGTATATATGGCGGAATACCATCCCATTAAGTAAACTTGAGTTATAGTATATTTATAAATCTAGTAACCTTTATATTCATTCATACTCTTTCGGCTTGCTTTTAACATAACTTTAATATGAGAAATGTCCATTACTGTGGCCCTAAAGGCTGCCCAAGCATATTACCAAGCTCTGATTACGTTAAAAGAAGAGAAAAGTATTAATCAGAAATTTATTTAGCTATATATTTATGTTTATTAGCTATCTATATACGTAGCTATATACATGATAAGACGAAGTATCAACTGCGTTTGATAAATACACCGTTAAATGTTATTAATTTTGCGCTAAGTGTTATAAGAGATCTGATGGCGCCATAAAAGACTTATGTAAATGTATTAATTAAATATGAGTTTTGTTGTGGACAATGTTGCTAACGCGTAATTTAATTTTATCATTTTGATAATGATTTATTGAAATTGGCAAGTTAAATTCCATCTTATCTAAGAGGTACCGTTTGACGTTTCATACTTTTCAAGCCGAACCAACTTTGTAATGGCGTAACTTACACAATTACAACAAACTTTTAAGTAAAATCATGGAACTATAGAGCAATATATTTTTATCACAAAATGTACAGTTTTTAATGACTAAATTTAAATTTTAATCTTCTAAACAAAGCAAATTAACCAACATATACAATAGATAGATTTTTTTAGACTTCAAAGTCACGTAGTTAGTTCTCTTACCGTAGTGATGCCACTCTCCAAATTTACTTGTATACGAATAATCGTTAAAATATACGAATAATCGGACTCATAAATAACCTGTCCTTTTCAACCCAGACGTCTTTTAGTATGTGCAATACGCGCCATACAAGTATACGCAGATAAAGTTAGCTGCAAACCGAATGTTGCCCACTTACCCTCGCAAACAAACGTACGGAGAAGAAACTAAAAAGAGGAATTGTAACTACATAATTGTATAATGTGTATGTGTACCTACTACCGAACGATTACTATTAAATTTAATACTAATTTTAATTTAAAAGTGGCAAACAAGTAAAATACATACACTTTATGTAACAACTCTAGACTACGAAATAAGTACATTATTAATGAATAGACACATTTAGAATTATGTTCAATATTCAGTCTATTTAACATGGCAAAGAACTAAAACATTTTTTTTAAGTAATTCCCAGTAAATCGGTACAGTACAAAACAGATGCAAGCAATTAACTCCCTCAAAGATGTTACGAATATTAAGAAAGGCATACTATTTTTTATAATTTTTATGTGATGAGTATTTAAAGAAATAGCTGCTAATTTTCAACCTAATGAAGTTCCTCAATATCTTTTTTTTTATATTAGTAATCAGAGTAATTTATGCCAATACAACACGTTTTCAAATAAATGTCATTTAGGGCGAAAATTGTTTGCAATTGGTTTTTGTTACAATGTATACTATCACAAAATCAGGTACAAGGAGTATTTTCAAGCTATTTTACCAGTTATTATTGATATTGGTGACACTCATGTATTCCTAAAACTAGACCTTGTTTTACTTATTTGCCTTTACTTGTGTTGTGTATTACTTTTATAGACTTAAAATTTCATTTTGTTTACTTAAATTTCAGCTGACATTTAACTGTTAACGAAAACTGTTAAATAAATCTTTGTAGTGAAAATCACTCGTGTCCAAGTCTTCACAAATACACAAAATTTTATGAAATCTGGTTAGGTTAGGTTAGGACTGATAAGCCACCCTTCGAGCTGATTTTCCCCCCGGGCTGGGTGTAATTTGTTACGCCGACGACATATTGGTCACGGCCCGGGGAGCGAACTTTCAAGAGGCGGTACGCCTGGCCACCAGGGGAGTCTCTCTGGTGGTCGGGCGCATTGCGGGTGGCTTTGGATAAGACGGAGGCCCTCTTATTCCATTTGCCTCGTCGTGGTCCACCCCCTGGCGCCTCAATCGTGGTCAACTCGGTCCTCGTACCGGTTCGGGCCCAGATGAAGTATCTGGGTCTGATCCTCGACGGGAGGTGGCTCTGCGACGAGTACTTCCGACAGCTTGCTCCAAAGCTGGGCGTCTGCCCTAGGGCGACTTTTACCCAATTTGGGTGGACCCAGCGTCGCGACAAGACGATTGTATACGGGGGTTGTACGGTCAATGGCACTGTACGGTGCACCGGTATGGGCGGCGGCTCTGACCGCTCAGAATAGGGCACGCCTCTGGCGCCCTCAGAGGATATTGGCTTTTAGAGCCATACGCGGTTACCGCACCATTTCGACGGAGGTGGCTTGAGCGTTGGAACTCCCCCGTGGGATTTGGAGGCGGAAGTGCTCGCCGAAGTATATCGGCGGACGGCTGATTTCCGGGCGGGTAGTGGCAGTCGGCCCCCGCCCGAAGAGATACGCGAGTGGCGTGAGGCCGCTCGCCGAGCCACGATGACTCGTTGGTCATCCCGGCTGGAGGTTCCACATGCTGGCTTTGCCACCGTGGAGGCGCTCCAGCCGGTTATCGTCGAATGGGCAGGGCGGCAGCATGGGACCCTTTCCTTCCGACTGACGCCGGTCCTTTTCGGGCAAGGCTGCTTCGGGAAGTACCTGCACTCGGTCGCTAGGAGGGAATTGAGTCCCGCCGGCCACCACTGCGATTGCAGTGAGGACTCGGCCCAGCACACGCTAGCAATTTGCCCGGCTTGGGCGTCGCAGCGCCGGGTCCTCATTGCAGTCATCGGAGGGGACCTCTCGCTACCGGCCGTCATACGCTCCATGGCCGGTAGTGACAGATGTTTTACCACGGTCGCATCCTTCTGTGAAGACGTCATCTCGCAGAAGGAGGCGGCGGAGAGGGCCCGGGAGGATGAACTCCACTCGGACCCAATTCGCCGCCGGCGAACCGGGCTTACCAGCGCCTCATGCCGCCCTGAGTGTGGCTGCGTGTGAACCCCCTCGGGCCACACGGCGGTTTCCACACGTAAAAAAAAATTATAAAAAAAGGACTGATAAGCTACACATTGGCATATAAAATAAAACTCCGATGTAGAGGACCGATGACAATACACTAATTAAAAAAATATATCAATAAAGAACTAAAAAACACGCTTTTTATAGAAAACCAAACTAAAAAATAGAAAATAAATTTTAATAAATTTGATAAAAAGCGTTGTCATACTAACTTTTAAACTTTCGCGTTCCATGATAATTAATATTATTTAACGGGAATTAACGCGATCTCTTATTTAGGCACCGGCCGTGGTCACAGGCTGACTCAGGAGAGTCAACCTGTGACCACGGCCGGTGCAACCTGGTCGAAACGTCAGGCAAACCAGAGGTATGTAATACCCTAAATAAGAGATCGCGTTAATTCCCGTTAAATAATAATAAAAAGCGTTGTCAATAGGAGAAAGCTTGTTGTTGCTTTTAAAAAAATATATATATTTTCAGATATACAATTCCATAATCCCTACATTATTTTAATATATCTCGTTTGCAATGTAAGCGACAAATGGCGACAATGGTGTTTTTTACGTCATCACATTACAAATCTTTGAAGTTTGCAATTCATGTCTAGTTTCGAGGGGATTCATTTAAAAATAAAAATTGTGTTATAATTTATACCTACTATTCATACGAAGCTGTTCACCAGAAGAATGGTAACTAGTAATCGCAACCATTATCATCAGCAGCCTGTAATAGACCACTGCTGGACCTTAGAAAGGAGAGTTTTGGAGGATACCTACCACGCTGGCCAGACGTACTGGTCAAGTTTTCCTTCTCTTTGCAGTGCTGTTGTCCTGCGTAGTTTGCTCCCTTAGTCGGCTCTTACGTCACCCACCCGATGAATAGAAGTGGTGACACTTCGTATTCTTAAACCGGCATTACACGGATTCGCAACCAATGGTAGTGATATTTTAATATAGTCGGTATATAATATTTAATATATAAAAGAAATACTTACACATTCAGTTACAGATTCAGTCATTAGTGTGGGTTGGCTATCTATGACATATCATAGATAACAGTTAAATTATTTGTTATAAAACGATACGTTATGATAAGAAATAAAACGATGACAAAATATGGATAGCATAATTTCTTAGGTCGTTTGCAGATCTTAGTTTTGTAAAACAGTAATTTACACTTTAACAGACTTTAGGAGTAAGTAGTAGACTTAATAATACTGATGAAAGAAATCTTATATTACAAGTCAGAGTACAATGGGCTTGTCTAATCGTTAATAGCGATCATTTCTTCAGGTTATCTGACCTTTAGATGGAAATAATAACAGAAGTATTAAATAAAACATAATGTTGATAGCGCATGACGTACTATTGAGGAAACAGACAAATAAAGAATAAATTAGGTGTGTTAATGAATAAAAAACAACGTTTTATACTGATACATGATGTTGTTTGACTTAAAAAAAATTGGCTGTTAGGTCTCAGCTTGCTGTATTTGTCAACTCTATTACATATGTATCAAAATGATTTTAAATGCACCGGAAACTTTCAAATGGAAAGTGAAACAGTATACCTACTATATATGGAAGAAATAACGAATTGGTACTTGAGCTCTTTTTGGAATTTACAATCTAAATATGAATCTAGTACTTGCACAAGTTTTGAATTAGTGCTCGGTGAGATCCAGTGACTGCAAGATGATGTATGGAAGATGTGTTCCCTCTAATTTAGAAAGAAGAAGAAGAGTAAGAGATTCTAATCGCTTTGCAGTCTTCATCGCCTGCTGCGTCTTCTATGAGATGGAAAGTACTATTACTCTCCCGTTCCAATTCCGCTATTTCTTTAGCAAGCGACTTACTCGTAGATTAATTGGCGAGGAACGAACCGGTATCATATAATATTAACATACCTCATTCTTGGTAGCATTCATAGTCAATATGCAACTTATTATACATTCCAGTCGAGACGGGCTCAGCGAAGTGTGTCATGCTAAAGTTAAAAATAAATTATAGCTTAAAAAAACTAAAAAACACGCTTTTGTAACTAGACGATCTAATAAGTAGAATATAATTTTCTTCACTGAGTGAACTTTCTTCACTTCAAAAATAAAAATCATTTTATCATTTTGTAAAATGCGTGGGGTTCTTGATCGCAGTTGTCTTAAAAATATTTTATTGACAGATATTGGTAAAAGTAAATTATTTTATTATAAAATATCTTGAAAAGCACCCCACGTTTTTATACGATTAAATGATTTCCCTTTTTGAAGTTACAGAAAATTATTTTCTACTTTTTAGTCCGTCTAGTTACAGAAGCGTGTTTTTTTAGTTTTTAGAATATCATTTATTTTTGCTTTTTTAGTAATTAATGATGATTATTTTCTCATTAAGACTAAAAAGTAAGAAATAAGTCACATAAGCTTAAGGACACGCCTCTTAGTAAGTTGCAAATTTGGTATGGAAAAAGTTGTTAATCCTGAAGATCCTGATCAGGATAATGGGCCAAAATTATCAAATTATTGTATTGTCATCGGTCCTTGATAAGTGAGCGAAATTTCAATTTGTTTCGAAGTGGCTGTAAATTGCGTTGAAAGATTTCGTTACATAGATACATACAGGTCAAGCTAATAAAAGCGTGTTAATTAAAAGTTTACATTTCGATATTATTACTCAAGTAGGTATATAGTAGTAATTATTTTGTCCACTTATGTTACAATTAATACAAAAAGCAACTATTCTTATTATGTAACAACCAACCAATAATTAACTTTTACAGTCATCGTTTGTAATAAAGTGCAATATCAATATCAATTTGTAATTTTGACGGGCCTGTTGGTCTAGTGGTTAGTGACCCTGACTGCTAAGCCGCATGTCGTGGGTTCGATTCCCACCCAGGACAAATAATTGTGTGATGAGCACGATCATTTGTTCTGTGTCTGGGTGTAATTTATCTATATTATGTATGTATTTAGAAATATATAAGTATGTTTATCAGCAGTCTGATTACCATAGTACAGGCTCTGCCTAGTTTGGGATCAGACGGCCGTGTGTGAGATGTGTGAAATTATTATTATTATTATTATTTTATTTTAATGTCTCTTGTATGTCATATACGTTTTAGTCTCATAATGTGTTGAAATGTAAGCGATTTTAGTGAAATTGAATATCAAAAAAATAATAAAAAAAAAAAAAATCTTACGCTCATTTTTAAGTCGGTTAGCAATAGACTTTATCATCATTAAATACTGATTTTATCATTTCAGCTTAGACAAACAGTTTTCGATTTCGTTCAAAAAGAATTGGCACCAAAAGCCTCACAAATAGACAAAGAAAATAATTTCGCTGAGATAAGACAATTCTGGAAGAAATGTGGAGAATTGGGACTTTTAGGTAAGTCTAAAAAGATTTAAAAGCTTGGCCTTAAACTACCTTACCTCCCTTACAAATCTAATCTTCATAGGCCAAGTAGTTTTCCAGATTTAGTGATTTTTAAAACATTTTCTGTAAGAACAGTCAGGAAGGAAGTTAAGTTAGAAGTTAAGTAATCAGACAAGAGAAGTTCTTTAAAAATGTCAAACTTTACCCATTTTTAATTCCTGGCAGGGATAACGGCAAGTCCGGAATTCGGTGGTACCGGCGGGAAATACTCGGACCACTGTGTTATTATGGAAGAGCTGTCAAGGTACGACAAAAATTATAGTACCTACTAAAAATTTGGCGTGATATTTTCTATCTTATCAACTAACCTAAATATAAACTACAACTTAATGTTATTTATTAAAAAAATACTCATTCAAATTTCAGAGCTAGCGGATCAATAGCGTTGTCATACGGAGCGCATTCAAATTTATGTGTAAATCAAATAAACAGGAATGGCACAGATGAACAAAAGGCAAAATATTTGCCAAAGGTTAGTAATTGTTTAAAGTAAATCCGGATCCGGTGGCAAAAGTTTGTATCATGGACAGTTCGATAACAGTTGAGACTTTTGTGTTTTTTTTCTAAGAGGTTAAGACTATAGTGTAATAACAATAGAGATATGAGCATAGAGAGAACACGGAGTACAGCTGCCTGTAAGTGGAAGCTATACAGGCAACGAGAGAAATGGATGCCCGATAGTTTTCTCTTTCTCTGTTTAACTAAGATGCGATTGGCTATTGTGAAGTGGGCATGGTTTTGTTCGTAGAACAGGTGGGAGGCTAGCAATTTCCCCACCCAACCACAGCTCGACTAGAAAGAGATAGAGGGAACTATCTATTATCCATGTCTCTCTTTATCTATATTGCTAGATTGGGGCTCTTGTTCACTGTCGATACTTACTGGTAATAACTCAAGTGTTAAAAACTTAACTCGTTTTTTGGTTTTGATTCATGCACTCGGACTATGGCAGGCTATCTGTCTGTCTGTTGGGTGAAGAGCCGATGAAAATCTAATTGGCCTGAAAATGGCACCGCATTCAAGGTAGTAGACTGCTGCTCTTCAAAAATCTTAGAGAGAGTAATAAAATCTTTGGAGTTTTACTACAAATACGAAAAAGTATCAATGGAAAAAGTGAATACGGGAGAAGTCAAGTAACATATCTAATGAGGGCTATTAATGAAATGAGAAAAACTGCCAGATATAGGTTCTCTAAAAAGCTGATATCCACATTAACTCTTAATATGATCACAGCCATTACTGGAAATAAACATTACGTCGAGCTCACTTTTTATATAAATTTAGAAATGTCAGTTAGAAAACTATTTTTATTTAATTTATTCCAGCTCTGTTCAGGTGACCACTTCGGTGCGCTGGCAATGTCTGAGCCAGGGTCTGGGAGTGACGTAGTGTCAATGAAGCTAAGGGCAGAAAAGAATGGTGATTACTATGTACTGAATGGAAACAAATTTTGGATCACTAATGGACCGGATGCTGATGTTTTAGTAGTAAGTCCTATCATAACTCTTATGATACTTTAAACCCATTTTTGCCACACAGCTTACACATATGTTTTAAGAACTTATATAACTCTCTTATGCATAAGCATTGTTAAAATTTAATTATATTATATAAAAAAACTACTCATTGGTATAGTAGGTATTCACATTTTTTTTCTTTTTTTTTATTTATTTATTTATCCCTTCGGAAATCCTCTCGGATACCACCTATCGGTGGCATGTCGGACTCGAACCGACTAAAACCGCACGCCGTCTCGGGTACTAATAGCCGGGGAACCAGGTATACCCTAGAAAGGAAGTCCCTGGTGTAGTAGGTAATCACCTGGACCAATACAAATGTCACGCAATCTAATTGTACCTACTTAACTAAAATATCACTTATTTTATACGTGGTATATTGTACAATCTACGTCTAGTTTGAATCTAAGGTCTTCTTCTCTAGATAGACTTTCATGGCTGTCAAAGTATCGAAAGAAATGGCGTGAAACTGTAGGCCACTAAATACTTTTCCGATGTCGTTGTGTGTGTCAGCTGTGTAGTCTCACAACATAAAAAGGCTCGATACATAGCAGTATAAGGATATACATAAATTATCTAAGGCTTGATAACAAATAGCCCGTAAAGTTACTTAAAACATTATTAACTATTTTTAACTACGTGGTGAAATAGTTACTTTAATAACAATATATTATTTTGTAGGTTTACGCGAAAACTGATTTGTCAAGCAAACCTCAGCACGGTATCACAGCGTTTCTGATAGAGAAAGACTTTCCTGGTTTTAGCACTGCACAGAAATTGGATAAACTAGGTATGAGAGGATCAAATACTTGCGAATTAGTGTTCGAAGACTGTAAGGTTAGTTGATTTCTATCTTTTCTATATACCTACCTAGGGGGAAGTCCCCTAGTGCCGGACACATAAGGTTTTCAGGAAATAAAATTAAAACTACATCGAGAAATATGTATTTATTTATGAATTACTTAAATTAACAAAACATAAAATCAAAATCAAATAACAAAAATACAAATTCTGCGTAAACATAGTTTAGGAATGTTAAATAAGTTTTGGTAAAAAAATAAAGGACTTTGACATTGGCACCTAGTGCCGGACGGGTTAATCTTCAAACCCCAAGCGCCGGACATTCTAAAACTTTTAGCATCTATCACATATGTAGGCATCTCCACATTCTGGAACGTCTGCACATGCTTCATGAGCCCATTATTGGCATCTGGAGCATTGTATCCAGTCCTCGTCGTGGTCTTCTAAACACACTACACAAGTCGTTTTTTCTATATTTGATACTTCAGTTAACAGCTCCTTTTTGTTGTCGTTATTGCCACGTTTGGTTTGTTTACTCATGGGGAATCTTCATAGCTTCAGCCAAGTCGTAAGCTAACTTCAAAAACTCGTTTTCATCAGGGGCAGACATCTATTAGACAAATCTCTTATGTGGTCCACTAAAACTTGCTCATACTCGGGTGAGAAGGTTTTTGTGAATCTACCAACTTTTGGTTGCAACGTGACTTCTTTTCCACTGCTCAATGTCGTTATTTTATCATGTAGAGTACTTTTTGGAACATTGTAACGTGACGAAGCTGCCCTCAAACTCATTTTTTGGACAAAATCTTGTTCATCGCAGTTTTTAAACTTTGCTGATCCCATTTTCCTTTTTTTTTCTCTCTTGCATTTTCAAATATCTCTCTCCTTCTATCCTGTAAAACAACAAACAATCATCATTACAATAAGTACAAATGCTTCATAAAAAAGCTAACCTATAAACTGTCCGGTGGTAAGGGACACCTTTGTGTCCGAAAATAGGGGACAGGAAACGTCCAAAATTACGTATTTCATACTAAAACTGTTTAGGTATTTAATAAAAACTTTCACAATATAATAATTATAGTGAAACACTGTCTTTATTAACAAATAACAAAAACAATTAAGGATAAAACCATAGCAGTAATACTTACTTGAAATTTACGTGACGCAACGCTTTCCCACCAAAAACAGCAATTCACGGCTTCCACCACGACTGTGCGTCTCACTGGCAAATCGCGTTGCGTGATCCTGTCTCGCTACGTTCCCCCGCACCCCTTTCACCGATTTATAAATAGATCGCGTTGACGTTTGTCAAAATAGTATGAGTGTCCGGCGCTAGGTGCCTTCCGGCGCTACGGGACTTCCCCCTATATCTAATGATCACTGCCAACGGACTCTACTTGATCTCGATCGATCGTACTATTGTCCAAAGACGCTTCCAATCAATTTCGGTAACCTCAACAACAGTAGGTAATATTTTTTTCGATTGAAATCTTGTCTTCTTCTGTTTCCTGATGATGTGTATACAGAACTTTGTGATGATTAATTCAGCAGCAGAGGCGAAGTCAATACCGAACTCTAAAATTACAGGTCCCAGCCAAAAATATACTTGGATCAGAAAACAAAGGAGTCTACGTATTGATGTCAGGCTTAGACCTTGAGCGACTAGTGCTGGCAGGAGGGCCCGTTGGTCTGATGCAGGCGGCAATAGATACAGCGTTTAGCTACGCACATACTAGAAAGCAGTTTGGCAAACACATCGGAGAGTTCCAGTTACTACAGGTTACAATTTTTTTTTTTATGGAGATTATATATAGGACTGCCATCCGTCCGGGTTTTCCCGGATTTGTCATTGTTTGGAGGACGTCCGGAGAGAGTCTGGGCGTGGTTTAAATTGTAGTTCGGGTGCAACCTGGACTACAATAAAAGTCTGGGTTTTCGATCAGATCCCGTCCCCATAATTTATGTAAATAAAAGCTACGGGTTAGGTATTTCACCGCACGCGCTGCCCTTGTTAAACAAATTTGCATTTAATTTTATTAGGTAATATTGGGTTTGTTTAACTTTTATTTAATATCTAAGAAGTTTAAAAAATAAAGTAAAATTACTCACTTGTCGTCACAAGAACGATTAAACACACTATTTCATGCAACAAAAGAGGCTTAAAATTAAAGTTTTCTTCTATCAAGTACGGAGTCCAATATATTGTAATCATGATGTAAGTGAATAAAAAAAGTATTGAAATGTTCGGGGTGAAAGGTCCAAAATCCGGGAAACTTACGCTTCCGGTCCTGGGGGGCAGGTTTTAGAGATGGCAGCCCTAGTTGTATATAGTGTGGTTACTTGCAGCTAAGGTCAACCTCTACTATCTATGTTACAGCTGTTCCCCATAATCACCTATATTTGTGGTCTGCATCACTCCTAATATATATGTGGCTCCATAGTGCTAGTAACCTATCCTTAAACTTTAATCAGTAAATATTAGACTTGCAACGAATATTCGGTTACTATTCGGTATTCGGCCTATTCGGCTGCTTTTATTATATTCGGCCGAATACCGAATATCTACATATTATTCGGCCGAATACCGAATACTTAAATAATATATTTTGTCATTGAGAAATAATTGGTAAAATGAAAAATTAAAATCGATTGATTACGTATATATTCATATTTTCATTTCTGTTATAATCATTTAAGTACCTAGTCATTGGTGCATAACACAGGTACATAATCATCTTCTGAATTGGAAAAATGGAGGATTCTATGTATTTGAATTATTGTGGTAATCAAAATTTAGAAGGGTAAGGTTCTCATTTCTTTTATAATCATTTATTAAGTAGTCATTGGTACATAATTTAATTCACGTCTGTACAAGTTTTTGGCGCTAAAATCTAGCCGAATACTTTTGCCTAATATTCGGCTATTCGGTCAGGGGCCTTGCCGAATATTCGGTATTCGGTATACTGCCGAATATACTATTCGTTGCAAGTCTAGTAAATATCCAATACAAATATAATTATTACAACCTGACAGATGGCTTTACTCATCGAGGAGTTCATTTATACGTCGCGAACAGGACAGGAAGGATTTATGCTAAAACGGTAGCTTATAACCTAGTTTGGTATTGACATTATTTTTAAACAATTCACGGTTTCGTGTAAAAGCACATCGATCACACTTAGACTAATTAAGTGTACTTATTTAGTAGGTAGTACCTACGGTACCTTCTAATTTATGCACTTTACAAGAGTTGCACTGAACCCTCTTTTAAATAAAAAATTATAGTTTAAAAAAACTAAAAAACACGCTTTCTATAGAAAACCAAACTAAAAAATAGAAAATAAATTTAAAAAAAGCGTTGGGTGCCTGTTGTCAATAGTAAAAAGCACCCCACCCTTTTTTTTAAATTTATTTATAAATTTATAAAACTATTTTTTTTTTAAATTAGTGCATTGTCATCGGTCCTCGATATATCTACAAAGTTTGAACGAATTCTGACCGTTTAAAGTCAGTCAAAATCACGCCCAAAGGTGTCGGTTACGAACATACAAACAAACATACAAGCTAATATAAAGCGTGTAAAAAGCGCCTTTAACTCTGAGAGAATAAAGTTAAATACAAGTCAGGTCGTAAACGCTAATCAAGTGCAAATCATTGCATACCTATTGCCTTCCTTTCTATCGCATCGCGGAACTCTTATCTCTTCTGATTATGTTAGTTGCATTTGTTTCTTTCGATGTCATTTGGAAAAGTGAAAAATGTTAGTTTCGGATTCGTCGCTTATTTTGCAAATAAGCAGCAGGTTATTGAATGCTGATCTACATATAAGTACTAGTCATTGTGTGTTTCAATTTAACCTCGAAATTGTTAACATTTTTTCAGTTATGTTTTTTTTTATGGTTTATGGAGCAAACGAGCAGACGGGTCATCTGTTGAAAAGCGACCACCGCCGCCCATGATTGCTGCCTATCCTGCATTTTGTATTCTTATATAGGTACTACCTATTTAATTTCTTTTTGACCCCCCAAAAATCTCCAACATCGAACCAAAAACTGAATGTGCCTGTGCCTGTATAAGTCTTATCTATATATCTTTATTAAAACTTATTTTCAGGGCAAAATGGCGGACATGTACACAACTCTAAGTGCGTGTCGAAGCTACCTGTACAATGTAGCAAAGGCTTGTGATGGGGGACACGTGAACAGCAAGGACTGCGCGGGAGTCATTCTCTATTGCGCTGAAAAAGCCACACAAGTAGCTTTAGATGCCATACAGATATTAGGTAAGTTTGGAAGCCAAGGATTATCCTAATTTGCTATATTGATGTACAGCAAAGCAATTGGCAGGACTAATGTCCCATTCCCCAGCACTCATACCAGGTATTGAAGTTCGCTGAGCGATATTGGGTCTCCATTACATCCTGCCATATATATCATATGGTGAGGTTGCTAACTGATTTTAAAGCACAGGCAAAGGGCCGGTTGGTGGCAAGATGCTAGCCTCGACTTATCTACTCCTGCAAGTTATACTTATACATATAATGAATACCGCTTTTTGACATTCTTCAGATTGTTATTCGGGCTGCTTTTTATACCTTGACTGATAACTTTGTGTACCTGTTCATAGTTGATTTCTAAGTTTTATTGGCTAAGTCTTGTCAAAAGAGAATTAGACTTGGTGTGAATTTATTGAAAAACCACTGCCTCATCATTCACAAATTTCATAAATAAAGTGATAAATTTGACCTATGTGCCTGTTACTATGCCATTAAAGATGCTATATATTCTTTTATTCTTTTACAGGAGGAAACGGTTTCATAAATGACTACCCCACTGGCAGAATACTCAGAGATGCCAAGCTTTATGAAATTGGTGGTGGAACATCTGAAGTTAGAAGAATGCTCATTGGTAGAACACTGAACAATGAATACAAATAAAATATAATTTTTTATATATATTTTATAATTATTTATTAAAGAATTGTACATATTTTATTACTTTAATTAAATAAATATCTAAATATAAAATGTCTTAAGTATTTTGATTCTGTATATTTTAAAATAAATTTGTTGAAACTATGTACAAAGTCAAGGGGTAGTGTGCGTTACCCCAGCAAAATAATGTCGAAAATGGTCATTTAAACGTTATAGATAATTAGTTGCTCCCCTTCTGTAATTGTTAGGCACATTTTTAAATTTGTTTCACTTAAACTTTTTTAGTTATTTCAAAAAAACATTTCCTGCTGGGGTAACGTTTGAAACGTTACCGCAGCCAGACATTTTCTTTTTTAATCGTAATATTGAAATAAATTTCAGCTAAATAATTAGTTATCTGGACTAGGTAAATGTTACAACTTATTTGGTATTTGTATTTTCTTCGGCTGCGAAGTTATTCGAGATCCTGCTGGAGTAACGTTTGTGGGTTTGCTGGATCTCTGAAACGGGTAAGCGGATTGTAACCATCTTTTGTACATAACTTCTTAAGGATTAGTTTTAATTTGTTCGACAATAAAATAATAAAAATAATGGACCGTTTAAAAATTATTTAGGTAAGTATGAAAACACTTCAATACGTCCTAACACTTTGAATAAGACCTGTAAAGACTTACTTCAAACGTTATTCTATTGCTTGTAACTACCTTCAAATGTATACGAATTTTCGTAAGAATACTGTAAGTGACTAAAAAGTTATGATGAAATGTAGCTCTCCACGTTCACGATCACAATGTGTGCGGCCTTTTTTGGCCGCCGATAAACCTGTGTGTGGATATATAAACTGAATGTTATGCCAATAATTAGTTGTTTAGTTCAGTTGTCTACCTGTAAAATTTCAGCGTCGTACATATAATAATTTACGAGATAATTAAATAAAAGTCATTAGAAGGTGCAAGACCGTGGTTACCCGACCATGTTTAGGTGGTTAAAAAAAAGCGATCACCCAGTACATTGCGCTGTCTTTTAAAATGTTTAGTGTAATACACCTTACGATTTCAGTACAGTTGCGTACAGTGTTAAATACATTGAATATTTATTCATTATTGTTACCTATTATTTATTTTGTTTTGTTTTTCCTAATTGATCTTAAGCACAAGTTTCTTTAATTAAAATTTCTTTAGTCTTTTTAACTCCGGGGCTACAATCAACAGAAAATCTGCACTGGCTCGCTAAAATTATAAATATGTAGATACATGTACGAACTATTCACCTGACTGCAATAAATCGAAAATTTAAACCAATAAGAAATCGTTCCATTTCTTTTTTTTTTTGTAAAGATATAACACTAAAGTAATTGTATTTTATTTTGAGGTTTATAAAGCTTAGACTTGAATGCATCAAAATATTTAAAGCAACAAGTCATCTACAATAAGTTAAAATAGACCGAATAGTAGAAGAATACAGTTGTAAATTAGAATGCATCAACATTGCATCGCCCAACAGTCGTATACCTCGTAAGAGTAGGTAATATTGTTCTGTGGTCTATACCGAGAACCGAGAATTATCTATATCTATGTACCTACCGCTAAGCGTGGAGCCCGTGACTGTTGATTTCTGTTAAAAACGACCAGTTGTTGAATGATATTTTGATATAATAACGGTAATTTAATTAATCGAGTGAAAGTGATACATTTTTATAGATAAAATTATTGGTCAGATAATATTTGTCAATCAAGAATCGCCGATAATACATTCTTCGCTAGAACGCGGGAGGGGAGGGGCGAAGGGATACTTCATTGTTTGCAATTTGCATCTAGTGCACTAAACTTGACCCTTAGGCAGATAATATACGTCTTGTAAAGTGCGTGTGCGCTTCCGCTTTCTATTTTTGCAAATATTTATCATATTCTTGAGAGTTTTTCAATATGTGTGTACCTAATTACTAATAATGGCCATTAATGCTAATTAGATTCAATTTAAGTAATTGTCAATTCTTGTCTTAGGATATTAATTACTAATGCTAATATTGAAATTTCGTTCGGGGTGAGCAAATTAAAAACGATCATAACTTGTAGGTAGGTATATCACTTATTACTAATTTTACATACATAATTTATTTTATTCTAATTTAACTCACCGCGATTTTGTGATCAAATATTTTATTTTCTCCAACATTATTACAGAAATAATGCAATGCAGAGTTTGTTCGCGAAATGCTAGCCTAAGTCGATTCATCACTTTAAAAAAATCCCAATCTATTCACAAAATACCTATTTACAACGCATACGTTACACTCTTCAAAACTTAAATTACCTATACCTACCCTAAAATTAAACTTCAATTAACAAATACTACACAGGTACCAATTCTATGAACAACTATAAACAATTCGCCTAAACATTACGAGAAAACAAAAGCATTCAAAACAATACCTAATCTCCCGGCTGATTACTAATTATGCAATAAACAATCCTAAATAAAAATTATTTAAAAACGTAGTTTTTTGTAACACTGATGTACATATCTGTAGTAAACTTGCAAATAATATCCTACATATTTTAAAAGCCAGCACAATGTACTGGGTGATCGCTTTTTTTTAACCACCTAAACATGGTCGGGTAACCACGGTCTTGCACCTTCTAATGACTTTTATTTAATTATCTCGTAAATTATTATATGTACGACGCTGAAATTTTACAGGTAGACAACTGAACTAAACAACTAATTATTGGCATAACATTCAGTTTATATATCCACACACAGGTTTATCGGCGGCCAAAAAAGGCCGCACACATTGTGATCGTGAACGTGGAGAGCTACATTTCATCATAACTTTTTAGTCACTTACAGTATTCTTACGAAAATTCGTATACATTTGAAGGTAGTTACAAGCAATAGAATAACGTTTGAAGTAAGTCTTTACAGGTCTTATTCAAAGTGTTAGGACGTATTGAAGTGTTTTCATACTTACCTAAATAATTTTTGAACGGTCCATTATTTTTGTTATTTTATTGTCGAACAAATTAAAACTAATCCTTAAGAAGTTATATACAAAAGATGGTTACAATCCGCTTACCCGTTTCAGAGATCCAGCAAACCCACAAACGTTACTCCAGCAGGATCTCGAATAACTTCGCAGCCGAAGAAAATACAAATACCAAATAAGTTGTAACATTTACCTAGTCCAGATAACTAATTATTTAGCTAAAATTTATTTCAATATTACGATTAAAAAAGAAAATGTCTGGCTGCGGTAACGTTTCAAACGTTACCCCAGCAGGAAATGTTTTTTTGAAATAACTAAAAAAGTTTAAGTGAAACAAATTTAAAAATGTGCCTAACAATTACAGAAGGGGAGCAACTAATTATCTATAACGTTTAAATGACCATTTTCGACATTATTTTGCTGGGGTAACGCACACCAAGGGGTAGGCAATCTCATAGGCAATGCTAAATTGAGAGGCTCTACTTGGAAAGTTTTATTATAACAATATAATAGTATTTTTTTATTGCACAAGTTATTTTAGCACCATACCAATTTTTTTTATTATGAAATATAATTATTACTCCCACCAAAAACTCACTGAGAAACTAATAGACATGGACTCAACAAAATGCCACCACTTCGGGGGTATATACAACATTTGTCCAGGTTTTAATATGCAATAATATGGTGTTGCATTCTTATACATTGGATATTTCTCTAAATCTGGCTGCCGAGGATCGACCTGTGCTGTATTATTTAATAGTTCATGTTCATGAGGATATACATTCTCCGAATCTTTAGGAGATAATAGAAATATTTTTTTCTCCCCTACAACTTGCGTTAACAAGTTACGTTTAGGATCATGGTGTAATGGTGAGACGGTACCTTTAGGACCATACCAAGCCATAATATCAACAGGCTCATTACTGTCAGTAAAAGAGCAATATTCTGGTTCTGTGATATCATTTTTTAGTTCAGGTATTTGGTCAAACAACTGGTACTGAGCAAGATAACCAGTCCGCCCATGATTTTGGTAAACATATTGGTCAATGAATTCTTCTACAGTTATAAGTTTCTGTGTCCAATCCGAATCTGTGTATTTACTTCCTATTTCAATTGATACTGTTCGAGGTCCAGCAAGTTTTATGAAATAATTTTGATCTGCCCACTTTTGTAGTGCTGGCCAATGATTTATACATTTATCTAGAATAACAGGCTTTTCTGCAAGAATATAATTCTTGTAGAAATTTTCCATACTAGGACAGTTAATTATTTCTATTGGAATACCATTTATTACGCTGGACTGTAATTGATTTTTACTGTCCTCTTCATTAGCAAAATATGATAGTCTATTTGATTTCTCACTATGTCTTCTAATGTTTACAGAATTCAGTATTGTAGCACAGTTTTGAAGCAGTTTAGGCTCTTTGTCTAAAGGGCAGCCAAATAATATTCCGAAGTCTATTATCTTAAACGCTTGCTTTATCACCGTTTCTTTATCATCGTCGGCATATTTTACATGAGCTAATAACTTCAAGTAAGAGGCAATTGTTATTGTTTTTCTTACATACGGTTTAACTTCTTTCCAGTTACCAATATTGATTTTTTCATACATATAATCAATGATTGCTTGAATTCTCATTGTAGAAGAACGATCCGTGGACTCTGTACTGTTTATATACCTTAACAGTAGTGCTTTCGAGGCCGCATCTGTATCGTCAACTTCTACCAATGCTTCAGTTACACTCGCCTTATATTCTTCCAGTTTGCAACTAATATCTTGCAACACCAACATTGTTATTTAACTTAAAAACAATATAACACCAATTACAGTAAACTATTTACAGTTTTGTTACAATAACTATGGTATTGCTCATCATTATATGTCAAACTGCTGTCATCCCGAGATGTAAATTCCATAGAGTAAATTCAGTTTCACGCATAATATTTTCAACCCGGCCCTACAACCAACCAAAGAAAAGGTATTCTGTATCTGTGTTACAACACATCATCCGTATCTGTATCTGTAATATCACCACCTTCTAAAGTTATTTACCCTAAAGGTAAACTTGAAAGCCTTTAATTAAAATTACTTAATAGATGCAATATACAATATTTCCAAAATTATTTCGTTTCTTAGTTCTGAAGAGTTGACCGAATTCATGAATGATACGCTCCTTTTATCCCACAGTTGAAAGCATAAACCATAAACAGTGTTGTCGTATAAAAATATTTAGCAGCAATCTTTCGGATTTCCAAAAGTCTAGCCAAATAGAACATTTTAGGAATATCATTAAATATTATATGAATGTAATGTAGATAAAAAATGTACGTTCATCATCATTCGAGTGTTAGGCCCCGTGCAGCGTGCTAGCGATGCAGCAACTTCTAGCTACGAAAAACTGCAGCGTGGGATCACCTTTCCGACTCTCTTCCCTTCACTTCGTATGGTCTTCGGCATCCTGCGTTGTCCCACAACTTATTGGCATGCATATCGGATGCGTGACTCCACACATTCACCGCTACGTATTCATCTCCGAGACATGCATATCCTACTTGTGTCCCTCTAATAACACCAAACAGCCATGTAAAAGGACGATTTTAATTATGGTTTTATTAACCGACTTCAAAAAAAGGAGGAGGTTCTTAATTCGACTGTTTCTTTTTTTTTATGTTTGTAACCTCACAACTTTTGACTAGGTGAACCGATTTTAATGATTCTTTTTTTATTAGAAAACACTACGATATACCTAGCAATAATAAAACGAGAATACTTTAAGACTCGTCAACTCAAGCACTTCTCACTTATAACTATGTACATAGTTAAGGTTTGTTACCTTGGCTGACACCGACTCCAAAAATAATAATAATAATTGTAACTACATTATATTCATTTCATTTTACTTAGGAGAATTCAAAAAAATATTTCGATCGTTGTTTGTTATTCATAGGTATATATTGAGTTAGATTTGAAGTGGGTAGGTACTTACCTTCTTGCGTGGTAAACACATAGATCGTACCATATTGATGAGTAGAAAAAGTAAGTTTATTATTAAGTTGTAGAAGAATATGTAGTTTTTTTTTTACTTTTTAGTTCATAATAATTTCTTTTGGAATAGTGTTTTTTGAAGTCGGTTTTTTTTGTTAAAAATTTTGTTTATAGACCTGTCTCTTGAACAAAATATACACCGGTCATCTATATGCATTCAAATAAAGGTACACATAAATTAGGAATAGAGCGATGTCGGGTCATAAGTGCCTATTGTGCTTGAAGGAAATCACAGACCTTATTCATTCACCTTTCTTCATATAAAATCCATTTGACCTTTTTTGGAATTTTCTTAATTTTACCACTAAGATTAGAATGAAAATAAGTTTATGTAAATTCTTCAAATTCTTTTTCTACTTATAGATTTACTTAAAATAATTGAAATTATTCTTAGAATAGTTTACAAATTGTGAACAATGTTATTTTCGTTGTATAAAAAACGTTAATCAGATAGCAACCTTGACATTATAGTTTTCTGTGTTTAAAAAAGAAGTAAACTTGTCTATGACTAATGACTAATCATATGACTTGTGCACGTGATCTGAGGGATTATTTACTTTTATAATTTATTTACATAGGAACTGATTTTTAAACAACATTTTTTTAATTAGATTAATATGTCTACCTGGGAATATCAGCAATGAAAATATAGTGAGATGTTACGTGTGGCGCAATGGCTTTATTCGACAAATTGTTTTCTCTTAAGAGAAAACTTGATGATCGCGAATTACAAAACCGCAACAGGTACGTCATAATGAAACGGTTTTCATTAATTTAATTCTATTTTTGATTCCATTTGGTATGCGATTGTGGAGTTGACGCACGAGGAGTTCACCCGTGCCGGGTGTCAACTCCTCTCGAATAGATGAGGGCAATATGTGGACCTTCGCGTCGGTGCGCTGACGCACAAAACTCTCGCTCGGGCAGTTCAGTACGACGAACATGTGATGACTGCGCGGGGCGGACGCAAGCCGCAGGCGTAGGCGTGAGTTGAGTACGATCACGTCACATTAAGCGAGAGGGGCGGGTCGCATTCTATGTTTACTTATTATTTACATGACAAGTAAGCTAGCTACTAGCTAGTACACCAGCACATTCCACTTCAAACAGACGCTCGTTCGAATTAATCGGTAATCGATGTGCATTTTAGTGTAAATCTTTTTAAAGTGGGTGATATTCTTTGTGTAGTGTAAGCAATAAAGATGATTTTACTTTAAAAACTTTACAACTATTATATTTTGGTGAGCGACTGTGGGAACAGCTGATGTGACTATGTAATAAAATGAAATTTAGGTAACTACTGTTTATTTTGTGCTTTCCCCAGAGTTCAAGCTAGAAGGCTTAGTGTGTACTAAATTTCACATTAGCATGTTTTTGTTTATTGTAGTGTAGTGCCATGTTTAGTTCCAAGCAGTGTTAACTTGTTTCAATCATGTAATCAGCATCACGTATCAATAAGAGCATTTTTGAATGACAATGATAATATATATGTTGATTTAGTGTGATGTGTATAAATTGTTTTGATGCATGGACTGGGTTTCCTATATGTAACAATGTGTGTCTGCAATACTAACAAAGAGTTATTATCTAGATAGAGAAAGGTTTTTGTTGGTCAATTGGTTAGAATAATTTTGTTGACTATTATGCATTAAATATGCAATGTTTTATTCTTTTCTTCTTTTTAAATGTCAATTTAAGTTCTAGGAAATATTTTTATATCATTATTATTAAACATTAACATATTTACGTACATGTTAAAGGGCACTAACTTTGTTAATTTTATCTAGTTTGACATAATTATGTGTGTGCAAAGGGCTTAGTAACATTAATGTGTTTCAACACAATATACAACAATGTTATAAACATTAGTAAATGTACATAGACAACTAAAAAAAAAGGTTATAAATTTAAAACCCATCCTTTGTTTTTATATGTTAAACTATGTTTGCAAATAAGTTTTTTCCGGTCAGATTCTTTAATAGTCACAAACTCCTAAACATACTTACAATATCTGTGTAACTTGCGAATTTGATTCACCTTTACAAACTTGTTACACACTCAAAACAAGTTGTTTCTAACATAGCATAATATTTATTTTAATAAATCCTAAATACTATATTTAAAAAGATATAAAATTTAAGTCATGTACATAAATTTTATATACATTGTGAGATGTTGTTGAGATTTATTGTCACCAACCATTTGTTATAAGCTTTTTTCTTATTTGAAGCAATGAAGCAACTTAGATTAGACCATTTAAGCATTTGAAAAATATGTTTTTTAATAAAATTAAAAAACAAGTATTTAAAAATTAGGACACAAAAGAGACATCATAACAAAGAGTATATCATGCAGTCCGGGTTTAATGTAAATATGTATAAATTGAAGTTGCTGTTGATGCTAATTCTGTTGTTCGAAAACTCTAAACTAAACATCACTGAAAATAAGTTCAGTCCTGTCAAACAACATTTCATAATCTGAAAATGTAGTACTTGACTGGACTTAACTTACGTATCTTGAATTTTAGTTTAACAGAATTAACACAATTATTAAGCTATTAAACTAAACAAAATGTACACAAAGTATAGATAGCTTAAGGGAAGTGGTTCCTATGCTCAAAACAGACTCATCATAGGAGACTGTCTCTGCGTGTTACCTGTGCTTCATTATGCAATTAAATAAGCTTGCATGCTATCTATTTTGGTATTTGGGGTGTCATAGCTCTGGAATGAGTTTTTTAACATTTTAAAACCTGTAAAAGGCTTCCATGTTATTTATGTAGTTAGTTATACTTACGACAAAAATAAATATGCTAAGAGAGATGTGCATAGTGTATGCCGAGTCTGTTTCTGCACATAGACAGGACAAATGTTTCCATCTCAGCATATGGCCGTTTTGGTGAAAGCCTTTAATTTAATATTCACACCTTATATCTTAACATACCTTTTTCAACTTTCTTTAATATACGCTCCACATATGTCTATGTACCTCGTAACATACACCGGTTACAATTATCTTCATCTTTTATTTTATTCACTAACACACACACTTTTCAAACAGGGGGAACCAGTTCAATTCGTGTTTCACCTATTATTCTTCCAACTAGCAAAACCACCTAAATATACAAAATTTTGTTTTGAACTTTGATCTGTGATAGTTAAGAAATATCTTTATTCTTTCTGAAATTTGTAAGTTATCAGAGATAACTACATAGGATATTTCAATGGCTCAAAAAGCGAAAAGCAGTATGATTAAAAAATTTACCTTACCTTTTTGCTCTACCAGGTCCTGTCAGATAAATCCGGAGCAAGTGCGGTTGCTTCTATTTAAGGAGTGCGATCAAAGAGGGAGGAAGCTTTTATTTGATTCATCTACAATACTGAAAGTGCCAGCGCTGCAAAATGACCGGCCTAACGTCAAACAGAGGGTTGAGGTACCCAGCATCGTTGAGGTGTCAGAAAGTTACACATATCTGGTAAGAACTATGTTTATACATACCTAATTTGCTACATACATATCTTGGATAAGAAAAAAAAATACTAAATAATATTATAAATGCGAAAATGTGTCTGTCTGTTAGGTAACAGTCAGACACATTTTAAGCGTGAAGAGGTCTTCGCGCTTAAACCGCTGAACCAATTTAGATAAAATTTGGTGTAGAGATAGTCCGAGTCTCGGGAAAGGACATAGGGTAGTTTTATCCCAGAAATCATACTTTAAGGGAGTGAAAACGGGGGTGGAAGTTTGTATGGGAATTCAAGAATCGCTGAACCGAGTTAGATGAAATTTTGTATTTTTGGTATTTTAATTCTTGAGGAAAGACATAAATATGCTACTTATTACCGCCATAACTGCGGGCAGAGCCGCGGGTAAAAGCTAGTATCGAAATAAATAAAAAGTCAAATTACGCAATTGCGAAATAGCTTAATAAGAAAATCTAACTAATTTTTTTATCTCCTTGATGCCAAATCTATAAATGTTAAATTTATTTTATGGATGGGTATGATTCATTTGGTTTGATTACTCTCGGTCCATGGTATTCTGGTTACTTTTTATTTATTTATTTATTTATTTGGACAACCAACAAGAACATACACCTTAAAAGCAAGAGATACAATGAAAGTGATATACAACCATTAGTGCTGCCTTAATTACAGGTTTTTAACTATACTCTGTAGATACTCTTCAATCGAAGATTAAATATAATGAACTTTTTATGGCTAGTTAAACATACCACACGGTAAACCCTATTCATTAATGAACGTGTTAACTATCTGGCAATCGTCGTTTTCTACGAGTTCTGCTTCTCGAAGAAGGCGTTCGAGATGATACGAACTTTTTACTAAAATAATTTGATAAACAGGCATCCCTGTTACTGTGCATTTTCAGTTTCAAAGTTGAGTATCATCGTGTAGTACTAGTTTATTATTATTACCTTAGTACCCTTTAATGTACCATTTAAAAAAAAGCACTTGGTTAGTAGACAGTAACTTGGATGTGATAGTTAATAGCGATACAAGATGGTTCCCCAATAGTCCCTTATCAGAAAATAGCAGTGCTCCAAGTCCTATTGTAAGGAGAATTAAGCAATATTGATTGATTAAACACGTAAATGTCAAATATACATAGCAATCTAACAAACTAATGTACGAAGACGCTATGAAGAATAACAATTGAAGCAAGTCAATATTATATCTTATATAATTAGCTTCTTTGCATTACACTTACGCACGATGTAGAAAGTGCAGTTACGCAGGATATGTAACAATAAGAGATAACACGTCATATATGTCATGATACCATGTTCGTCTTAAAATTTCATAAAAAAGTCTTTCGTTCCTAAAATTAATTGCTCAAAATGCCTAAATCTAAAGATAATATCTTTAAATAGTTATAAAGAGTTAACCCTTCTGTCTATTCTGCCGGTCAAGGTTGTTTATTTATTTATTTAAGGAAACATATATCATGAGGCGGACTTAATGCCACAGGCATTTTCTTCCAGTCAAACCTTTGGGTGTTGCAAAGCTGTGTGTGGCAGGTGCATATTAAGTTACAATTTGGAGTGAAAAGATTTTTAAGCTGGACCATCTGGTCTGAAATCAAAACACGGCGAACGCTTCTTCTTTTTGTATAAAACCAAACTGCATTTCTACTGCTGTGATTCCTATACAACAGGATCAACAAGGGTCCTAAAATCAGTCACGCACCTCTTACCTTAATACGTAACTAACAGGCTGTAAAAGTGAATCTTTGAAGATTTTTAAGTTTACTTTTATGACTTTAAAAAAAAAAAAAAATTTTGTTTAATATGAAATGATGAACGGAACTGTTATAATTATTACTATTGTATTTGTCATTTTATGATACCCTTTTACATATGATAATGAAAATGGCAAATAGGTAACAGTTCTATTCAGTTGTAATGCAGTTCTTGGGCTCATCGTTCTTGGGCATCTGTCCACATAATGGCAAAAGTCATAGTAAAGACTCATACCTGTTTTACTTTAGGATAGGCAAAGACAACATACCCAAAAATAGTAATATCTTATTCATTAATATCCAAGCTAAGAAATGATAGGTACGATAAAATGAGTGTGACACTGTGAACATAATTGAAATCAATTCGTGATGTAGCGGCACTAAAAAGAAACACTTTTTCCGTAAATTATCAATATATCCAGCTTTTCAATTATCCGAATGCCTGACGACAACAGTTTATCGTCATCAAAAAGCACCCAAAGTTACGTGAGAAACCTAGTCATTTATAATTTAGTATTTCGAAGACGATTATTTTTTTAATCAATTGATTTATTTCGGAACAACTCTACACCGGTTATTATCGAACAGATGGCAAATCTAGTGTAGGCCGTTTACCTTAGTGTATGTTAATAATAATATCAAGACAAAGCAATGACAAGTGATGACATGTCTGCTTGTTTGCCTCTTTTATTCCATAAACAAAAAACCAATAAATCTCTCATCATTATCTCGCCAAGTGATATTGACCTTGACCCATAGGCAGCAGCAGCTACATTTTTTCTTCAAATATTTTACATACTTCTTCTATTGTCGTATCTTTATGCTATTATCATCATAATCATAAGAATATGTCCCAGTAATGAACAGTACTGCTATTGTGTTCTCGACACTAGTCTTGTCCAGGCATTCCAGGTTTCACTATCTGATACCATCTTTTATCTATTCCCGGCACTGTTTACTTAGTATCCGAAGCGAGGTCGTCGAATGAAACAAATGATATAGGAAAAAAAAACAAACAAATGTCATCAATTAATAATTTTAAACGTAATATAATTTGATTTATAATTTTTTATTATAAAATTATAAATGAACTTAGGAAATATAGTAGTACGACTGTAAACGACTACCATAAAAAATAATATTGTTACTGGCATTTGCTAGGGACTAACGGGACCAAATTTTTTCGTTGTTTGCAGAACTTTAATACTTGGTATTGCATTCCCTGAGTTTGTGTAGGACCCTAATTGTTTGATTATTCTCACTAGTCACTTATAAAATATTTTAATTTGTAATATTTTCAGGATTTTGATAAACCCGGAAACTCCCGTAGCTATATAATTTATCATCACATCAACAGGCTTGTGTTAGTGTTAGAAAAGGAGGTTTTGGCCAACTATACCACGCCTCCTCCCTCCCTTAGTTGGCTCTGAGGACACCGGCGGCATGATTGGGGAGGTGACTATCCCTATTCTTAATCCGTCACGACGATATAATTTTTAATCTATTTCAAAACCGACTAAAAACCTAAAGCCGCTGTTTCCTACGTTTTTCGCAAAATATACAAATGTTAAATTCAATGAATATGTTGAACAATAACAAGTCTATCTATTTATATTTGAATTCAAACGCTAATAGTATAACAAAGTGATAAATTAGCTGAATGCTAAAATCTTCTAGCCCTCACACGCGCATAAAGAGTTTAAAGCCCAGTCGCTCAAAGACCGATCTTTAAGATAAGAGTATAAAAATAACCTAACAATTGTCATACGAAGTAGTCACAAGACCGTCGACTCATTCCACATTATCACTGGACCATTCTAAATTTAGATCACTTTAGATGTAAGCCTTTTTGATTATTAAGAGTGCTGCGAATGGACATGATGTCGCAGCCGCCGTAAATTTAGTTGGATTCTAATTAATACCCATCACATGTCGCTTATGGTGGTGGCAATTTTATTGTCTACAACTAAGTATTAAATAAATAAACTTCTATTTTCTATGTCTACTTCAAATATCCTGAATGTCATATGACATGCCACAACAAGGAGAGACTTAGTTTGACAAACAATCTTCTCCTATATGGTAAAGCATATCATTCAGATTTTATCTGTATTAACAGATTTAACAAAAGGTAGAATCCTTTTGTTAAATCTGTGACAAGACACTTTTTCTTGAAATCAGAAAGCATTGTCATATAAATGTAAGGTGAAATTGACACATTACGGTTTTATATTAAAAATTTGTGTCTTACACATTTTAATTTTTCTGTCTAGCTGAAAATATATTAACAATATTTTTTTGAAATATTTTGTTTCTTTCTCTTACTTATTATTACTTTTTATGCAACAAACATACTGATATATTGACATCATCAAATAATTTAAACATGCACAGATGCACGACACAATTTATGGATAAGTACTTTAGTACTAGTAAGTACTAGTACTAGTAGTAGTACTAATGCAATTGCTATGTTCAATTCTGCATTACTCACGTTATTATACCCTTGGTCATTAAGTCTGCCAATGCATAAAGATTATTTAGTAAAAAAGAAAACAGTGGCACTCCTGGAGTGTCGACAGCATTGTAAACTTGAAAGTTTTTGATTACAACAGGCTTTTTTTTTTGTTTTTCGATTCGAAAGTTTCGTTGTTGTTTGTTGTACGTACATATATTTATATTATATATAGTTATATAATCGATGTATTTCAACCCAAACTCAACTCCCGTGTAAACGGGGCCAATATATGCAGATACTTATATACAGAGGTGTCGGTAACGGTATCAGGTAACGGTAACATTTAAAAAAATCTATTTGTTTATTAAGTGAAATTGACCTTGGCTTTAATAATAGTAATAATAATAAAAGTATTTATTTCCATTAACTCAACTTAATCTAATTATAAGAATTGTTGGAGCACTCCTTTTAGACATAACGGTGCCTGTGTTAGGAGGCTCCGCTCTTGCATATATAGATAGCATGGTGATTAAGATTTTACAGGGTATTTATACTTAGTGAATACAAAAAGAAAAAAAAAGATGATAACGTGAAGAGTAGATCTGTTCGTAAGTAAGTATGATTAAGTGTAGGTGTGTGTGTAATGTGTGAGTGTGCTCGCTCGTGTGTGTGTTTTTTGTGTATGCGTGTGTGTGTGTCTCTCTCTGTGCATGAGTGCGTGAGTGTGCGTTATGTTAATTGTTTAATCTAAACATATCGGCGCAGACCAATGCATCAAGGAGACCAATTTTACCATGTATGAAATAATCAAATGGGACGGAAGTATATATAATTTGAATTTTAGTATTAAATATCGTGTTATGTTTCGTATGGACATGGCATGAGAATTATTTTAAAAGTATTGAAAAAATCTTTGATTATGTTATTCTTTAATACATAGTTATTTTTTCCCTTTAATAAACTATATAATTTCAATACTAAAAATATAATCGAATAAAACTATTTCCAGAAATATACGGCAAATTATTTAGAATATGTTGACGAACTGTTTGGAGTGCACAGGACGAGTCGCAAATGTTTTTAAAATAAAAACATACAAATAAGGATATTTTCATTAAGACCGAGATATTATTAACAAAAAAATAAATCACATTTACGAGTGGCGGGAGCGTGGGTGAAACGTTGAATTAAGCATGTATTTTTAGTTTCTGATGACGTTGGTATTTAGACGTACGCAGCGTAAACCACCTGACTTGTAAATCATCGCGTCTTTGATGAATGGACAAGCTTTGTTTGACTCTTTGGAAGGTCAAATAGTTCATGACATTTTTTTAGTCCCATTACGTGGATTGATCTGACAGTGATTTAAAAAGAACTCCCCTATTTTATATTTTGGCAGACTTCCTTCATCTTAGAGAACGTTATGAAGAGCTCTCGCCCAGTTCGATTTTTTAGTATTCTTTTGTAATGAATGCTATTCTTTATAGTACAAGGGCCCGGCGGCGGATGCGAGTGCTCTCGGTGAGATGATCTTCGGTGCAGTCGCAATGAACTACAAGAATGTTGCTCTCAAGATACACATTATGGATGAGCCGAGGAGGTAATAAGGTCGAACTCCCCAAATATTCTTCCCTAACATACGTTTAATTCAATTGATAAATTTGCTTTGGAATATATTATTTTAACTATTTTAATACCATTCGAAATTACTTTAAATTGAGATCATTGTGTTTTTTTTAAGTTATTTAGTTCGGATTATGGATCACAACATCTATCAACATTTTTGAAAAACTTGAAACAAACCCTATACCAACCCGTCTTGCCAGCGATGGTGTAGTAGGCCAAATCTCCTATCCAAGGAGCGGCCTATGTCCAGCAGTGGACTATTGAAGGCTGTTGATTATGGTGATGATCCTCATCTAGAGTCTTTTTGAGTAATCATCTAGCATTGTCGGAGCATGTTTACCAGTCAGATCTTGTTATATGTTTCTTCTCCCCAAATTAGGAGAATCATACTATTTTGTTCGTGTAACATTAGTGCAACCAAAATCTCATATTCGTGTGTCTTCGTAGGCTAATGTGCGCAAAAGTATTTTGCGTGCCGTCTCGACGGGTAAGCCGAGCCAACGCAGATCGCAATTCAAACAGAAGAATCGCCAGTAGCAGTGGGGATTTCGGCAGTAGGACCAACCCACAGAGCGTTCCTTTAGTGCCTGAAGAAGGAGTATCATTAAGCTTTTCAATGGATAGAGGAGATTCGGGTAAGTTTTCTGATATATCTACAGACTTGTAGTGTTCATTCAAATATACTTTTTTTTTTCTTGCACGTACTGTGTATTTTTTCGATTGAGTTTCTTGTCAAAGTAAATGTATCGGTATATATGTTGTGGTTTTCATGACAGATTGATTGATAGATGGTTACATGATATAAGGTTATTTTTTAAGGATGTTGGCAGTTTGTTTATGCTTGTTGCATAGTAAGATAGAGATATCATATTAGGTAATCACCGGTACTCGTGACTCTTGTCTATTGCCAAATCTCTTACCGCTTTCATCGAGCTCGGGTGACCGTACCGACTAAAATATTTTTAGGAAACCTAAATAGTAGTAATTATGGTGTGAGTTTCTTGTTGCGTTGTTACTGAATTATCGATTTGATTCTCGCCTAATAATTAGTACTAGCACATCTAGACAAAGATGCGATACGTATCGCTTGCGACTCAACAAGAAGGTCAAACACTTCATTTTTGTCTGATAGTCTATAGTCCCCGTGGCATTAAACCTATAGTTCTTACATCTGGTATATTTGTATTACGATTTTTGGGTGATGTAATTCATGGGTCTACGCCGGGGTCCTGGATTTAACTTAGATGGAAAACTTGGAATATTTACACGTAAAAAACTAATTATATTAGTGTAATTTTCTGTGATATTAGATATAACTCTTTCGATAGTAGATATTGCGCATGCTAGGTCATCTCGTGATATGTGGTCACGGTCCTCTTATTTGCGGAATTAAGTTGTTACATGCAAATGTTGTAACTGACGCTACGTTCGCCTAGACTAATGGACAATGCGCATATATTATGAAATGCGTATTAGAATGTTATGTAATGAATACGCAATGTTCCTTGTATAGAAAGGGGCGCATATTGTATATAGCATTGTTAACTTTCTGAAGAAGTTACTTCGCTATAGTGTTTGTGCAAGCTATAAGTAGTTGATGCATGGTGCTAACAATAAAGATGTCTGATTCAGCCGTGTCAGTTTTATTTCATTACTAGCTTTTGCTCGCGGCTTCGCCCGCGTGAATTTCGGTTATCTCGGTAAAACTATGTTATTCACTGATAAGCTTTCCGCTGGTGAAAGAATTTTTTAAATCGGTTTGGGGGTTTAGGCGTGAAACCGTATTAAACAGATAAAGAAACTCACTATCTCATGTATTTTATAAGTATGGATTTCATATACATAAATTTGAAAAATTGCAGAGTTGGTCGGTCTTGAATTAAAAAGATATTACAATGAAAATTACAAAAATGTAGGGAAATTTGTGGTTTCTCTTGGGAACGTAAAACGTAACTTTAATCACTGTTGTACTGTAGATAAATTTAATTTGTTTAGGTTTGCTGTATCAAAGGCATTTCAGAATGTTTGTTTATTTAATGCTACCAATTGATGAAAGTTAATGATGTAGGCAGCTACTTAATTGCTTTTTTAAATATTTATGTTAGTGTTGCCAGCAGTGTTATTAGTAGCGATTAGTTTTTACAGAGTTATCAGGTGATGCTAATAGTGATGTAAATGACTTTTTTTGCTTCCCTTATAGAAGGGTGGGAAGAACTGTATTCATTGTGTTTTTCATTCCATGTTAGTTAATTGTTAGCTTCCGTTTATATCCATCCTTATATTATTAATGTGAAAGTGAGTTTGTTTGTTTGTTTGTGTGTCCGCCGTCGGTAGCGTACGGAAATGCTTAGCGCTGGGTTCTTAGTATGCATGAGATAAATCATAGAGATTGTTTTGTACGTAGGTTAGGGTTACTACTTACTCACGCGTTGTTGCCAATAAGCTGTTTTCAGACGATGCATAATTATTTTATTATATATAGCTACCATTCCCTACATAATAATTAAAAAAATACTAGATTTAGTGTCTAACCTACCTACCTAGCAACCCCAACCTACGTACGAATCGAATGAAAAATCAAATTCACTGTGATTTTGTACCACGTCCAGTATTTAGAAACGCCGGCGGCGGCGTGGCACTGTCCACTGCCGCTTCAGTAGTCGGTCGCGCGTCAGATAACCCCGGGTCTAAACCGATTTTAAAAATTCCTTCGCGAATGGAAAGCTACATTATCAACGAGTAACATAAGTTACTTTTTGCCTCGATAACCGACATACACGCTAGTACTTTATATATTAGAGAGGCACGACGTTGGTGTACAATTTGTTTTTGTCGTAGGTATAGGACCAAACGAACAGATTGGTCATCTGGGGTAAGAGACTACCACTGTCCATTGGGCATATGCAAAATCAAGAGTGCTCTCAACCGGAATTAGGAGAGGGAGGGGGCCGGGGGAGTTTTTGGTCTTAGGTTTCTAGTTAATCACCAGATGAAATGCTTAACACCAATTCTCATGAGGCTTTGGTAGCACCCCGGTCGTGCCGGCCCATTTGTGCAGAAGTATGGTTAAAAAATAATCATATTGTAATGGAATATTAATATTGTTGAATTTGTTTCAGGATTTTACGGGGATCATTCGCCTTATAGTAGTGTGGGGTCCACCAAGGATTACTTTTCCATGTTCGACAACGGCAACATCAACAACCAGGAGGACTGCTACTCTTTTCATTGTAAGTAACTATTTCTCTTTAGTTTATTACCATTGCATTATATACTTACTGCTTTTTGTTTTAATTATTATATAGACTTATAAACATTTTAACAAATGTTGTTGATTAGAAGTAATTATTTTCGTTTAACAAGGATAATATTACACTCAGTTCTATTAATGCAAATTGTAAGCGGTCACCACAAACTAGTGACACCATAGAGCAACACAAATACCCGGTATAAGTTGACATCCACAGTGTTGTTGAGGAATGAAAAAGTTTTTTTTAATATCTTATAATTACACGTTACTTTTTCAATCTTGTTTAATTTTCATATTGTCCCATTTCCGACTGCTAAACGCAAAATAAACTAAGATTACGCATCTTTTTCGCTATCAAAACGATTGTTACCAAACTTAAGACTAGGTCTAGCCAATTTGGACACTGTTTAGATACATACATAATTATATATCTAAACACTGTTCAATTTAAAAAAAATGGATTCTTTCTAATCGAATGTAGCTCTTATAATTAAATATGCTAATAAATTATTAGTTTTAATTTTCTTCTATAATCGGTCCAGTGACGTACACATGTTCGACAATTGAAAACCTCATTAAGCAAATAAGTGCCACATGTGAAGTGTTGATTGTCTTTATTAGTGCCACCCGGACGAAAGTTGAGCACTTCAAGCAACGGCAGCTGGCAACGCAGAACTTTCCAGAATATGGCGACCAGGTTTGATCTTGGACGGCAGAGTACTAATCTACTAGAAGTACCAACATTCTCCAGCAATGGCGGAAGCTCCGATTCACAAGTAAGATATATCTATTTTATTCTCTTTGTGTGAGTATTTTTCAAAAAAAACTTCACAGTTTGATTGCGTGACAGAGTAGCTTAAGACAAAAAAACACTCGTTAATAGCAAACAGAATTAAAAAGTAAAAAAGTCCTGGCTTCATCAACAACTGTGATTGTCAAAGCCATTCTACTGAACTCATCTAAAGGAATCAAATAATCCCAAACTTGACTTTTTGGATCAGTTTGAGATCAGCAAGACGATAGTGTCGTCTTGCTGATCTCAAACTGATCCAATAATGTATAAATATGTATATATATATATATGTATATAAATTATAATTATACGACAGTAAATTAAAATAGGATAAAATTTAATTCTAAGATTTGTTTATGTATAGTTACAGGTAAATCTGATAAAATATTACATGTATAACAATACATTTCGTCGGCAGCGCTATTCGCGTTAATATTTAGACTCCTTAAACCACCGCAAAAGGAACATCAAACATAATAACAAAGACACACACGCTGAAACTTTTGTAATATGTATAATTGTATTTGTTTTGCTTTTGCTGGTTTACGAGCGTGTTAAGTTTTGGAGCGTGTTAAAGAGGCCTTATTTGATTTTATCCTGTTAAAAGTTTCAATTTGAGTGTGCTATTTATAGCTTTAGCAATTTAATACTGCTGAAAAATAATTGACATCTGTTCTAAATCATAATTGTGCCTATAAACTTATCTGGCAGCCACTTCACAACACATGGTGCCCACATCACTCAATCAACGTGGTACGAATCCCTCGAGCGATGTGTCAGGCTAGTACACAAGTTATGATATATAGTGGAATGATAAATGAAGCAGGGCAGCGGGATTAAAACAATTTATTTATGCCATAACAGAATACAGTTATGCTCACATGTTCGTGTTTATCTTTGAAATTCGTGTATCTACTAGAATCACTGTAATAAAATATTATGTAAATATAATATCACGAATGTGATTACGAGCCGTGGTTCTAACATGTTGCAGCTACGATTTTTGATAAAAAATAGTTTTTAGGTACATAGGCTTTTAGTTATGAGTTTTATAAGAAACTATTTTCTTTAATATAGTAGATAAGTTAAAGTTTCTACTACCCTTACACATATGCAAAAAAAACGAAGCAACTTGAACAACTATTGAAAATGAATATAGAAAAAAAACATCAGATAACTCTGCCAATTAATATTCGTTACGTTATGACAAAGTAATTGTTTTATTACACCTATTTAACGGACACTACAGGCACATTGTTCAACCTGAATGTAGTGTTTTACCACCTACCGGGTCTAATTGTAAATCAGAATTTTTAAAGACAAAAGGTTTTTTCGTAGTAAAATAGTAAAGTATTACTAAGACTAGCAGACTACCGATTTAATTTTCGGTCACAAAACTATATGATCACATTACAGTCAAAGTTGGATGTTTAATACCTTACTACGAAATTACCTTTATTATGACAGTTGTGAGACCGAGAGTTGATCGAAACTGAATTTTGACGAACTTTTAATACAAGAATTGGCCTTCTGTTTGCAGCACCATTAAACTATCCACTCAAATACATAAAATCATAATTGGTTCAGCGGTTTCAGCATATACGCGTAGGTTCAGTGACAAAAACACGTACAGAAGAATGACATATATAAAAATCTGAAAGTTATCTTCAGACGCAATACATTTTAGAAGCCTTGCGTGAGAGCGTGTTAATCTTTGCTAAATGTCTCCATGATAATCTAGTTAATTTATAAAAATATATAAATTAAATAAAGTAGCTCATAGTCGGAAGTTAAAACGGACACTAAAAACGTGAAATCAATATTAACACAAGTGTACTACACTGTATGACTCACAACATGTGCAGTCTCGGAAAAATGGAAAGTATTTATTTCACAAAAGTATTTTTCTATAGGAGTAATACGAATACTTGTAAAATATATCTAACATTACTAGTATATTAATATCTCCTCCAGCTAAGCTATATACTTGTGTTAAAAGCGGGTTACGAAAGTGGGCACTCTGAAGTGTACTGGATGGAGTTCATTCAAACAGCAACCACTTGATCCGAATCCAACGTACGACCATTGATGATTAGATATTAGATATAATTATCTAATATCTATAGAATTTAGGTTCGTCTGATTAAAATTATATTTACAAAGCTAGTTATTTATTAAATAATCTCTTATTGCTTAAATAATCTCGAAATATGTTATAAGAGTATTGTTTAATAATTTGCTATTATTTATATTAACTGTAATTCATTTAAACTCCTGTTGTATTCGAGAAGTGCGTCTCTCCTCATCGTCGCCTACTGGTAGCCTGCACTGATGGCCCCAGTATCATTACCACGTCGAATGCTAATGCTAGATTTCTGTCGTCGCTTAGCCAGTACCCTATAAACGGACCAGCACTCGGACCCAAGACCCTTGGCTGCAAACAGCTCATAAACATAGTTACCGACGAATTGTATTTACGCCATTTGAAGCTTTCTGCGGATGACGTTGACACGAATACTATAACCCTGACCTTACTCCACATTTTTGATCTTTCAAACTAAAACTAATTCAAATCTTTTTTGTTGAGTAGGCATTCTCTTGTTCTAGTGTGCTTTCAAACATCAGTAGTACAGTCTGATAATCAAATTAAAAAAAAAGTTATATACAAAAATAAAAGGGATAAAATAGCCCTGGTGACCCGGTGAAAGGTCATAAGAGTGTGACCTTTATGACTTCAGATCATTGTGATCTGAGCTCATGGCCTTTCACCATATTTTGATATAACGAAACGAAAATAATGAAAAACGTAAAATCGACTTACGCTCGTTTGAGAAGCATACTAAAATTAGCATAATAAATCTAGAAGTATTTTATCTACCGCAATCAAACGGCATAATCTAGTTTTTTTAGAAGGCGCATTATCTTTTTATCTGAACATTTGTGTGATGTGTACATCACCTGACGGTCCACTATCGTTCATATGACATTTTATCAGGACAATGAGTTTTGCTCATTAAAATTAATATCGTCACAAGTGTAAAGGAACATGATTCCTTTTAATTTTTAACGGACAAATAGGGATTTATGGGAATTATTGATACTAAGTAAGCCAAAACCTCTTTTCTAACAAGAGGCCTATGTCCAGCAGTGGACCATTAGAGGCTGTTGATGATTGATATCTCTCTTGGTCGTGTTCTTCAGTGGTGAAAGTCATGTTCTATCTGTCTCCCCCCTGTCCGAACTGTGTGGTCCAAGTTCAGATCCGAAGAAGACCGGTCTACGGATTTTCTAAACGCAGCAGTTACTGGAAATCCTTAGACGGACTATAAACTGGGTGCTCAGCCGTGTCGGCTGTTTCGTTCTACTTTTACAAATACTACCAGCTTTTCAAGATTATCCGATTTCCTCAGGGCTATTAGACCAAAGTAGCACTCGCTGGTAGCAGGTAGTTGACAGTCTGTTCTTAGCATCAAGTTGTTTCAGGATTGATGTGTTTGGTCGCTTGGCCGTCCATGAAATGCTGAGTATTTTTCTCCAACATTGATACCTGCTTTGCAAGGTTCCGAAACAACACACTTGTCTTAGACCACTGGTGCGTTTCTAAGCCCATTCCTTCTCCACGGGGTCTCTACAGATCCTTGTCATCAGTACAAAAAGACAGTAAATAAGCTAAGCAAATTGAAGTTACTTTCTCAGTAGGGTGGCTCATGAACCTTACCACAAAAATATTTTAAAACGAGCTGTACGGCGGCCGTCTTTGTATTGCAATTGCAATAAAAAATATTGTATCACTTTATGATGCACTATATGTTGATTTGCTTAACAAACGTTCGGAAGTGTATGTGTACGTGTGTACGATATTAACTTAATGAGCAAAACTTCCGTTGTCTTGATGTCATGTGACATCGTTAGTAATTCGAGTACTGCCGCAAGAACTGCTTTTTGGGCACCGGTAATCTTTTCAAACGGGCTTGTGCTGGTTTGACGAACTACATATTTTGCATAACTAGACAGCTACAACTGTAGTTTTTTGTACATATACATAGCTATGTGTATTATAAATACATACAAATTATTCACCAAAAGAGATTATCCACGTAAACCGTACTTAATAAAAAAAAAACGTCATGAGGGGTCTATGGACTTTGTTCTTCTTCGGAATATCTATGCTAATGTATGTTAATCTAACACTTGAAAATTGATCACTACAATGTAATGTAACATTTCTGGAAGTTACAACACATTGAATATTATAATTAGTTTTAGAATAAACTACTGGTTATTCGCGAATTAAGCACAAATTTTAAGGGCAAGCTCAATAAACTTATTTTATAGGTAGGCTATTCCTTATCACGCGATACACGCTCTGAACAGATGGGAGCTAGACCGAAAAAACTTGTAACAAGACTTTTTTTGCGCGTCTACCAAAAAGCAAAAGGGACTTCGTTCCGCACGGGGGTCCATGGACCTCTCACGCCGTTTTTTATTTGAATATCGATCAGATGATGGTTGTCATAATTTAAAAGATTCATTATAAGCCGTATTAGATCAAAAGTAAAAGATACGTGTCAAATAAAAATCAGTAGATATCAGATTAGATTGAAGTTAAGATTTTGTTTTTTTTCTTTAAAAAGACAACTCCCGCACTAGGAATATGTCCTGTGTCACGGAGGACATTGTTATTACAGTTGAATGTTTGATGCTGATTATCATGATAATCTTTATAACCTCACAACTGTGATATTTATGGTATACCGTACACTTTATCTACGACCTTATTTTCAAACAGATGTACAGCAACAGCTCAACAAGCGGCACAAACGAGAGCATAGCAAGCTCTGGGTCGATGATGGTGTACAAGAAGAACAAACTGGGTTTAGCATTGTTGATAACCGTCACTGAATCTGCGCAAATGTGAGTATTTACTAAATATAACTTTCCTCTATGTTTTTAAGTTATATGTTTGTATATTGTTAACTGTGTTTCTTTTTTTTGTTTGTTTATTTTTGCTTCTGTTTTATTGCAAAAAGGAATTAGCTATGAAAATGATAAATTCAGCATATTGTGTCATTCCACAATTAAAGTGTCTTCTCTTCTCAGCCTTTTTCAACCTTTTTGTTGTAGACCTCCTTCAGATTATGCCATTTTAAGGCAGATTGCGCCTGACGAGACGAGACGCCTTATGTTTAAGGACTGTGTCCTGCACTCCTGCCCATGGCCAAATGAATGCGTGGAGAATTAAAAACTTGTCATTTTGTCTCCTTCAGAGTTTATTGTCGCTTTTATGGAGCTTTCTACTAGAATTACAAATAAGACATGTCATAGTCGTCAAACCGTTTTATATTAGAACCGAAATCAGCCGTTAATTTCAATTACATAAACTAGTTACGTATAAGATAAATTCAGCATAATTTTCAAAAATATTACGAACATCGTTCGATACTTCTATTCCGTGATATGCCTATCCTACGCATCAACATCATATGACTGTGAAGAGATTATGTCATGTTTCTTAAAGCTGGTTTATCCATATTATTCTTATCATCATCATAATATTGATATTTTGTTTGAGTTTGGTTTAGCCTATTATTGATTGTTTATTAAAATAAGTAAACTTACGTGCATAAGTAAGAAATAGGTAGGTACCTACTGTTCGAACTGTAGTCTGTAAAATAAAATTATTAAATCGTCCGTCTGTTGTTAATATGAAAAACGGTGGTTTGAATTAACAATAAGATCTATTTATTAATTCGATGTTAAATGATCTTCTGAGGAAAAAATAGATCATAAATAAATTGTGCTTTGATATAAAATAAACTAAGTATATGTTTTAAAAGTTGGCAAAAAACGCAATATACTAAATGTATTGGATTATTATCCAGTGTGCTAGTATAGTCTTAAAGAGTCTATGTATCCAGTACAGTATCCAGTAGTTGTGTTGTATACGTTGTGTAATTATGTATTCAGTAAAACTCATAACTGATTATTTTTCATAACTGATTACTGCTATAAGGGGTTAACGTATTTTAGTGACCAATTTGAATAGCCTAATCTGGTTTTTGACACACTATCCATCATCAGCACGAGTCACTGCTATGACTGAATATATTTACTGACTTGCTCCATCAGATATTTTTCAAATTTGATTTAATAGCAAACTTTAAAAACAATGTCACTGACTGCAGCGCGCCTACGTAATAAACTTTATTCTTCATTCCTAAATGATCACCTTTAAGGAAGTTTATTCTCCTAACTTCCTACATTAGAAATTCCTAAATCAATTCATAAATTACACCATTCTGAAATAACAAAAAAAAATGTACAACAGAATTATATGTAGCATTGGACGATTCGGTCGATTTTTGTCTTGATATTCGATCCTCTATAATTCACGTATGTCTGTAAGTTTAAGACTGTTCTACAACTTGGAGTGAATTTGTCTTGTTTATGTACATTGATGTAGATTGGTAAAGATCCAGCGGACTGACGTTTTATGATGTTATATACAAATATCCAATTCAAAAAGGTAAACTTTAAAACATCCTAGAACTATGAAATGAGGTCCAGTGGCATTCCTTGATACAAAACATTCTAAATCTTTTAATTACAATTATGGCTGTTGAAAAACATTCTAAAAATAATATGCCCGTTCGTCAAAAACGTTTTAAAATTATATTAACCTTAGCAAAACGTTTAGCAATTTATCTTGAGGATATCATTTGTATGACAGTGAGTGAAGGTTCCCCTTCAAAGAGCTCACGTGCATTCCATCTATTATACTGTAAGTAAATACTCGTACCATATATGTACGATATGGTACGTAATAACCTTGTCACGTGAAAGGATTTGTTTATACTCTACAGGTTTAAACTCCGGTGTAGATGAGTCAGAAGGCCACTCATCTCATCATCATTAGATTAAATAAAATGAGCATCAGGGAACGTCGAAATTGTCTTACGTAATAATAATAACATGAATATAGACGAATCTTGTTTATTGTCTCATTTTTAAAATATCTATATGTAAATTTAGATTAGTAACACGAAAACAGATCTAAGACTGAAAAAAAAATTGCCTATTGTAAAAAGAAAAAGAAAAAAGATAAGAAGGAAATAAGTTTTTTTTATTTTTTCGTAAGTTTGTTTTTCGTTAGCTAGAAAATAGATGATAAAGATTACCAAGAGCAGGCAATGCTGTTTCGAATTTCAATGAAAAACACCGTTAGTGTTATTTTTTTGAAATTTTCCGTTTTTACAAATAATTTTCGATACAACTCTTAACTGTCATTTTTTGCACTTTACTATAAAACTGAATAACTATATGAAATCATTTTCTTTTTTAGAACTCCCAATAAGTGTCGAAACTTCTCGACATCGTCAGTTAGAAGTTGATTTTGCCGTGGAATTATATTTATGCGTCAGTATACCTCATACATAACAATATATATTGTTGGCAGAGATGTAGTGCGACGATGTCTGGAACACTCACCCCAACTACAAGCCCTGGTGTGCCGACTGCGGTTGGCGACGCTGTCAGCTGGTGCTAGCGGTGGGTTCGTGTCGACCTTGCACCGTGCCGCCGAACATGCTGCTCGGTGGTAAGGAACATATGGTTGCAAACTACGCTTAACCGATGGGTGTCTACCCATCGGTTAATAATAATAATGTGTACGAATGAAACTTTATTGAAAATTTATTAGAATAAAAACTCGTAAAAATTATTTCAGTGTTAGATAGCCCATTTATTGAGGAAGGCTATAGGCTATATATCTTCACGCTAAGACCAATAGGAGCGGAGCACCAATAAAGAATGTTTCAAAATTGGGGTTTTTTTCCTATTGAGAATTTGGTTCCTAAACTAATAATACGTACATTATTTAAAAATATTTACACCTACGTAAACGAAGTCGCGGGTTAAAGTTAGCGTTAACCCAAAGTAACTATTCCACGCGGACGAAGTCGCGGGCAGAAGCTAATATAATCATATATGGCAAGATCTATCTTTAAAAGTTTCAGGTTTGTAAGGTAAAATCATTTTTCGTTAAGAATTACCATTATGTACTTGTGAATTCGATGCGTTTCACACACTATTGATAACAGCTGTGCATTATAATAACTGTGTATACTATTAAATTATCCGGTAGTTTAGTATACACACTTTGAATTTAGGGTGTGCGTTAGGAGAAATACTTTTCTAATTACCTGAGTTCAGGTTTTTTTTAAAGATTAATTGTTGCTTTGTATTGGATATCTTAGTGTCTACTTCTAACTTGTTTTTCCCTCTTTGAACTCTATATTAAACGTTTTGTTAAAAAGTATTGTACAGGCAATTATTATTCTACTGACTTGTCGTAATACATTATGTAGATATAGGAATAACCCCGTGTTTCTTCATCAGGCTATCGGACTTAGTGTACGGGCCCCGCTTGCAGCCGGTGTGGTTGAATCTAGTCATGGCCGATACAAGAAGTTCCAACCGTCTAGCCGAGTCGTTGCTCTGCGATTTCTGCTCGGTACTATCCGTCGGGGACACCAAGGATACCAACTTGTAAGTATAGGAATTAAAAATAGTCATTCATTTTATTTCTTTTCTTCTTTTTTTTTCTTCTTTTGTGCAGTTAAATTGATAGATTATTTAAAATTGATAGCATCAGGCCTAAAATATATTTTGGAAATATAACATTTATGGTATCGTTGATTTATTATCAAAAATACGGTTTAAAGATCGTTATTTCTCTTAAATCTATAAAATCTTATAAGAAAAAATATACTATAAGAAAAGTTAAATTTACAGTAAGCCGGTGCAGGTAGTTTTAAGTTAGAAAATACTCCTTAAATTACGGTTGTCCAAGAATGCGAGTTCAAAGAATACGAATTCATGTGATGTCGAACCACATTCGCGCAATTAATTAAAAAAATGCATTCTGTATTCATTCCGTGAGTGTCGTAAGAGCCGACTAAGATAGCAAACTGAGCGCGACAACAGCACTGCAAATAGAAGAAGAACTTAAAACAAACCCTATACCAACCCGTCTGGCCAGCGTGGTATAGTAGATAAAAACCTCCTTTCTAAGGAGAGTCTTATGTCCAGAAGTGGACTATGAAAGTCTGGTGATGATAATGGTGAAAAAGCTATGACGAATTACCTCCTAAAGGCGTCTACACACCAACGCCTGCCAGCACGAACCCGGCCGGTTAGGAAAGTTGGTTCTTCACCAGCTTCTTATGTCCAGCAGCGGATTACGTAAGGTTGTTGATGATGACGATTTAAAAAAAAATGCACATAGTAGTTGGTTAATAATACTACTTGGCTGATTTAGAGGTTTGAATGCAACAAATATGCACACAATTCTATTTGATTGACGCGAATATGCAACTGGAAGTAAAAATTATCTGGATAATATAACTATGCAGCGATAAATTAGGCAATGAACAAAAAATATTGCCATGTAATATTAATTTTACATCGAATTTTCATACACTCAAAATATCATTTTAAAATCAAATTACTACCATTCTACTCCTAACATGTTTCTAAGTGTCTTTTGAGAGAGTCATAGAAGCAGTTTATGTAAGGATGTTTACAGGTGAGCACAAGCTTCACTAGATGTGAAGCGATTTGCAGTAATCATAAACAGGAGATAGATAGATAACAAGTGCTCAAAAGTCAGAAGTACATAACCTTTTAGTCTGGTATCGTTTCGTAAAAGAGGCTCCAACCAAAAAAAAAACAATGCTGCAGAACATAGGGACTGAGGCTAAATTATGCTATGCTGGCGATATACTCTGTCCCTCACTAAATCCTTCTGACAGTAGTTTGAATAGTTTTTTTTTTCTTTGGATTTTCTTGCTCTATTAAAGTTCGTCTGAAAGATATCTGACTTATAAAAGGCACCACGGTAAATGACCATAAATAGTGTAATTTATTCATACCTACTTATCAAATCCATTTATTGGTTCTGTAGTGTAGGAGTGACTAATGTGTGAGATCTTTAAATATCAACGCGAATTGTAACCGCCAATTGGGAATATGGGTCAGTTTGATAGTCGCAAACAATTGTCGGGAACTAAGTTGTTTACGTCATAGATATTTATAGATTAATCACGAGTTTCTTTTTTATAAACAAATATAGCAATAAAGTTCCAAAATTGCTTTGTAATATTTTAAAATATTAAAAGTTTAAAATAACAAGGATTGATAAGAGATTCGAGATTTATAAGATAATAGGACTAAGTTTTAAAACGGTGCAAAGAGGTCGAATCACACATATGGTCATCCAGTAATCGCCCTCAATGTAACTAGTTGTGGATCGTTGATGTCATATCATTTTATAATCCGTTCACATTAAAAAAATAGTGACGGAATAATGACGCGTCGTATAAGTCCCGTATACTAACCAATCAGGATTCAAGCTTTTTTACGAAACGATAATTTCTTGGAACCTGATTACTCAGGTGGCGAAACTTAATCCATACGTTAGTATTTTCTTATCGCGAATGGACTATAGTACCGACTGTTATCTCCTTTTAAAAACAAGTACCTGGATTATTTTCTAAAAATGAAACCCAGCTAGATCGATAAATCGCCCCCTGCATAATAAATTTCATGAAAACCGTTGGAACCGTTTCCGAGATTCAGATTGTATATATAAAAAAATACAAAAATGGATCGTTTAAAAGTATTTTTAAAAACAATGTGATCCACCTTGTAATTTTAATGGATTCGATTCGAAATCGATATTCGATATTTATGTAAGAGATATCACAGAGTATTCCATACGAGGAAAAATAGGCACATATAAAGGAGCGTGATAAACTACAAGACCTGAAAGAGCTATTATAATTGATTTCATAATGTTTAACCCATAAAATAGGAATATTAACACAATACAGCAAATGTGTTATGCAAAGTAAGTCGATATTCGAAACGTGTTTGTATGTGATTAAAAAACTTCAATGGTCTTTAGTCACACTTTCATAAAACGTAGTTCAGATGTTACTAAAAATCTCTAGTTTCACACAACACGTTTCATTCTCTATACGGTTTCTGAGTACATTTTCACTATCACATTTTATTACCTACGAATAAGTATGTGTGAAACCTAATCTACACATAAAATGACTTGCCGACTGACTGACATACAAACATTGGGTCCAACCCGGGAATCGAACCCGAGACCTCAGCATACCAGTCGCATACGCTGCCACTGCACCACCGAGGCAGTATAATAATAGTATTTTTTTTTTTCTATCACTGTCTGTCGATCGTCTGATTCTAAACTAGACACAGACGTTTGCGAGTTATGCTTCGACACCTGAGAGCCAGTTCGACCGGAGTGATATCACAACTTCACGTAAAACCCGTGTTATACAATTACTGGAGCCATAACCGCCGCCTTTTCCATTTAACTCAATCCGGGGATTACCCTTAAATACCATCAAAGTGCCTTTCCATCAGTTGACCCAATTGCTCTTTTTATTTAAAAAAAACACGGTTAATAGCAAGTTTCCTATAAACTTTACATGACACGCTTACGCCATAAAGATATAATTTACGGTGTACATTATACTACTCAATATACGAGGATATTTAGCATCGGTTTATTGCCCATTAGATAACACCTGGCTCATAAACACGATCACATGATTTTCTAAAAAACCCTCTACAATTGAGTTATTTCAGAACTGTTATGTAAATTGTCTGTTACTATTTTAATGCCATTGTTTATGAGAAAAGCTGTGGTTATTGACATTCACGTCTACGAATATTTAGACAACCGCTGTATGCACAATGTTTATGACGTCTTAGTATTATCAGATATGACATTTTACACAATTGCGACGCTTACGCTTACTTTGGGAATATTTAATTTATTATGTCACAGTGACTATTACTAATTATGTAGAAACATATATTTTAAGCATTTAATCTAGTATTAACCTTTTGTCTGTGCGGAAATCCCTTCGGATACCACCCGCCGGTGGTTATGTCGGCCATGAACCGACCAAAAAGGAGGAGGATATCCCTGGCAATCTATTATTACCTTAACAAATTAGTGTACGGCAATATTTTTTAGTTGCTGTCAAGATTTATTTTATATTTAAACGTAAATTGTTTTCAACTGTTTACACAATTCAAATTCGAATACAAATTTAATTATTATTACTAGAGAGGGAATTAACATACATACCTTTGAATTATTAACATTTTGACCTGAGGGCTAGTGTGAGTTTGTTTTAGATGAACTCGATCGTCACGCTGGACGCGTTCGGTGTTGCGATTGGCCCGCACTGAAATCTTCACCAATCACAAAGCCAAACGCGCTCACCGTCGAGATCGATTTGATGTGAAATAAACTTACACTAGGTCCTCAGGTTGCGCCGACCGTGGTCACAAGCGGTGTTAGACCACGGCCTGATTGCGTCTATTTTCATTCATTAGTAATAAAATAACAAAAACGGCGTGAGGGGTTTATGGAACCTCGGTCGGAACGAAGTTCCTATCACTTCTTGGTGGACGTTTACCATAGTATCGGAAAAAAGTCACAGACAAATTTTTCGGTCTCGTTCCTATCCGCTCAGAGCGTGTAATGCGCGATGAGGAACTTCGTTCCAATTATATCTCATGGAACGAAAGTTTACAATATAATACAAGTATCCGAACTTATTACATTACAAACAAGATAGAAGTCTTCATCAAATTAAAAAATATGAGTTGTTCTCACTGTCGTTTATTTTGTTAAACATGTCGCATAGTGAAAATACATCTAACATAACGCGACTTTACGACAGCAAAAATTAACACATTTATTCTATTAGTCATTTGTCATATCAGACCGCGTCGCATCCCACGCGACATTTATACAAGTTCGATTATATCGACTCCACGCACACGTCTACCTATATTTACTGTCGAACTGTACAATATTGAAAAAATTCGTTGCTTTTCACCGCGTGAGTGAGGTTTTCCGTGTGGTGATGGATTAAGAATACCGAGTTTCACCACCCGTATACATCCCGTGGGTGTAGTAAGAGCCGACGAAGGGAACTAACTACGCAGGACAACAGTACTGCAAGGAGAAGGAAATCTTGAAACAAACCCTATACCAACCCGTGTGGCCAGCGTAGTACACGAGTAGTTAGGCATAAACCTCTTTTCTAAAGAGAGGCCTATGTTTAGCAGTGGACTATTAAACGCTGTTGATGTGATGTGAGTGAGGTTACCGCATACCCAACTCCCTAATTCTGGGAATGAGGTAGGGGGTAATCACTTACCATCAGTTGACCCTATTTTTTTTTATATTAGAGGGGGCAGACGAGCAGACGGGTCTCATGATGGTGCAACTCAGGAGTCAAAAACGCGTTGCCGTTGATCCCTTTGACTGTTTGCCCTCTATACCATACAAAGAAAAATTCACATTTAAATATTAATAATGAAAGTTCTGCCTTTCTCAACTAAACAGGTACATTGCTTACAAAGATATTTTTGTCTGATATGTTTACGTACAAACCCGTCGTCGCCTCACGTGATTTCTGATGTTGTTCTTTTTAATGGTTTGACGTCTGTTTTACATATTGCTCAACATTTATTGTGCAACCGTAGGTTTCGCTTTGCAAAAAACAATGTTATATTTTAAATATGTGGCGAAATTTGTTAACACGCTGTTTCCTTTTACCCATTTAAGAATATAATGTACATTTCTTGTAATTTTGTATAAACTAGGATTATATTTATTACGGTTATGCTAAACTTTACAAAAGTAACGTAATAATACGATTATATTCCTTCAATGTACTCGTATATTACCTTCAAATTTTAAATTGTAACTTTTGTTGTGAAATTAGAGCCGTGTTATGGATTTAAACGTAATAAATTATGTACTAAGACTCTTTTAGTGTAGATTTAATATAATATAATATATAATAGATATTTAAATAGTCTACGCTGATCATCTCGATTTTGTAATGATAGATTAGAAAAAGATATACAAGTAATATTTTAATAATTACCTTGTAAAATTAAATCAGTTACATAATGGTCCGTGACCGTCTTATGCCAGTAAAATAATATAAATAAATCTTAATTTTAAAATTGAAATTTTACTACTGATTATATTTCTGATTGAATTGGCTTACAATTGATCGACAGGCACCGGGTCTTGGGTCTATGTTATCCCCACTTATAAAATAAAGGTTCTGAAACTTCAGTTCTTTTCAAACATTTTGCCTTGATAGCAACGTATTCGAAAATTGCTTATAATCTCTTCCGATTAGCTGTGCTTGTTTTTAAATTCATAGTTTAAAAAATAAATAAATAGGGCAATAATTACTTTTGTATTTATTTTACATTGTAAAACAAACCTATGATTCATAGGTCATATGTAGTAGTCAACCGGTTGAACTAATTTTTTAGTGTTATTTTCTATAAATGAATTCCTCATTGTATTCAAATAGCATGCGAAGGTCAAGTTTAATTGAACGAGTGTAATTAATCTTTTCTCTAATCATCTTGCGCAATACGTTTATATTTAGCGATTTTATTAATTATTTTTGGTTCACAACGACAATATCAAGTTCTAACTTCCCATGTCTAGCTATCGCAGCATACCCGGGATAGGAGATACCCAATATATCTATTTAAATCTTGTGATGTTCAGTAACAGTAATTAGTTTCGCTTGTGACTAATCACATACGAAATTTAACCGCATTTAATTTTTTCTTTCAGTTTTATCAGCACGTTGTTGACGCATATGTTGACTTACCATCTTGGTTGGGTGGCTACTGTTAGTCCATACGACACTATCGATCACCAGGTCAAGCAAGACACCGGAGCGGATACAAGAAAGCCATACAACGCACTTTGGGCTCAACTCAGTGACCTCTGCGGTAGCATTGGCTTCCCACCTCGCGCAGCTAGAACCATCATAAGTGGCGAAGCTAACACGCAATTCCTCAACAGACTGCTCGTAGTGTTAACTTACTTTCTCCGTTGTGGCGATGTTAAACGAAATAACTTTCAATTTCAAGAGAGCACCATCAAAGAGAAAATCATAATAAATGTTTCATCAAATAGTGAATGTGTCGTGCCCGAACAGGGTACAGGACTCAGGCGAACAGCCACGCATGTGGCCAAACTTGAACAGTGCGATGTGCGAACTTTACAAGTGCCAGAGAATACTCAAAGTAGTGATAGTAGTGTCAGTACCTTAGCGGCGTGCGAGGTCAGCATTAAGAGGACGTCCACGCTCGCGAATTTAGTTCAAACGCTCTCTAGTAGCTCGGACAATTCCGAGGCGGATGGCAGCTCCACGAGCGATGTGGCGGTCACCAGTCGGATTAAGAGGATCCCAACAGCCATGGTGTCTCTAAAACCCTCTTCGGATTCTAGTCCTAGTTCATCCTTTTCCGAGAACGACCCAGAAAGCGAGCAAAAAGTTGTCTTTGTGTTAGGTGATAGCGATAAACTAATAGGATTGAAAAACAAGTCTGTCGGTGGCAAAAGTGTGAAGAAGTCTTCCAAAATTCACAACGAGCCCGTGAATCTTGATATACAAGAGAAAACGACGGAACCGTGTAAAAATGAAGGCTGTGAACAAAATAAAAGGACCGATACTCCGTCAAAGTGCTGCGGGCAAACGCTTCAACATTCCAAACCAATCAAACATTCCGGTTTTAAGTTTGAGTTCGATAAGTACCCTCAGATAGTCACTAATTATATGAAGAGTAAAAACTTAGAAATATTAGATAGACATTATATTGGTAAACCAGGGAATTTGAAGTTGGATAACTTTCAGTTTGACCCCACTATAGTTCCGCCGATACAAGAGGAGAGATGCGAGACTTGTGTCAAGTGTCAAATGATGGAATCTATGCTGCAGACCCCAACTAACGCTTCTGAAATGGAATACCTGAACGATATACCACGTCAAACGGAACCTCAGTATGCCAAGGAATTGATAGTCGAAAATACTGCAATCCCAACTCGAGAAACGACACCAAAAACTTTTGTAAGACGGCGGAAAGAGAACACAGTTGTGGTAAATCTAACTGAAATAGCAAAAAGCCCCACGTGTGATGACAACACAGAGACAAAAAGGCGAGAAGCGCGAAAAGTGATTAGAGGGATAGAGAAAGATAAAGTGGTGGAAGTAAAGCAAGTTTTGGAGTTTCCGATGCCCCGGTTGTGTTCTACATTAGAGCTCGAACAAACACGGTCGGGGTTTGACGGATCATTGCTGGGAGGCGTCACAGACCATTATGTACCTGATTTAATTTTACAAGGTAATTGTTAAAATATTACTTGTATTTCTAATCTATTATAACAAAATCGAGATGATCAGCACAGGATATTTAAAGTTCTTAGATGTTACTGTGGTCCAAAGTTTTCAGATAAATATAGTTTAAGAATAATGCTTGTTTACTAATTTACTTCAACTATTTGCCTGAAGTTTATGAAATATATTTTTATACTTTAGTAAGTTATCAATAGATTTATTACAGTTATGACTTAAATTGCTCTTAGCTGTCAATAAATTATTTTCATATTCGCGCTCAAAGTTGATCAATAAAATCAGTCTTACAACCCTTAATTTTGTTATTATATGACAGTTTGATATAATATTGTGTATAAATTTATCCGTTTTCGTAGATTTTAATATATGAAAACGATTTATTATATATATATATATATATATATTTGGGATTAGAGGAGATACAGGTAGTTTCCTGTGGTTAAAGTAATTTTAGCAAACTTCATAACTATTTTTCACGATTTGAATGATTTCACAATAGTTTTGTATGACGTGTATTTCTTTCTTTCTATCATTGACGTTTCATACACTTTTTCCATAAAATATCTATCATTCAAGCATTGCGCTTTTGTTCTGATGTAGGAGTAATCACAAAGCCAAACGCATGGGAGAGTGAACTGCGGCGCGACTTGGATCTCACAACATATGTAAACAAGACAATGGAGTCGCCAATACAAGCCATCGCCATTATAGGGGATATCAACACTTGGTAATTACAATATGTCTATTTTTGACCCCTGACGGAAAACGAGGGGTGTTCTAAGTTTAACCTGTGTATCTGCAAATCTGTCTGTGGAATCATAGCTCCCAAACGGATGGACCAATTTAGATGCGGATTTTTTGTTCGATTTTTTGTTGAAAGCCGATGTGATCGAGATGGTTCTTAGCTATAAATTGTGAAGATCATCAGCTCACTTCCTAGGTGATGAAGGGATCTCTCTAATATCTACAGGTTTGATTGATTTGAACTTGTTACTTGTTACTTTGATGGTATTTCTACGACATGGTAACCTGGAACTTGCTGCTGCATCAAGTAGTCTGCGGCATAGCCAACTCTTCACAAAATGACAGCATAAATAGCATGCTTGGACTTTATACTGTTTTTTTTTGTGTCGGGGGGGTTTTTAATATTGTTATTTTTACAAATTATCGCTTTTTCGGACCACCTCGATCAATATTTGTTTTGTCATCATTCGATTTAAAATGTCAAATATCCGTTTGACCAATCATATCACCAACTAAATTCATTTCCATTGCTAGGGTTGTAGGGATTCTTTAAAATTTAATTTTCCTTTTTTTTTTTTAGGGAAGTGAGAGTGATAGGCAGAGACTGTGGTACAAACGGCATGTCATCATTGGTGGGTGCCATGATGGATACGTTACCCGCCATGTGGAGAGCGAAAGTTCCTGCCCAACAGGTAAATGTTTTTTTTAAAGCATATTGTTGTTTAACAAAGACTTTTTTAAATGAATATTGATTAACGAGAGTGCCATTCAAATAATACATTTATTCAAAGCAGTTATTCAACCAAATAATTAGGCAATCCTTATGCCATATAAAGGAGCATGCCCATTTCAGTATGAAAATTATTTAATAACTGTTTCTTGCTATGTCCAGTATGTATAATCCGCATTATTAAGCCGGCATTGAGTATTATCTGAAATGTTTACTTATAAACTGGTGATTATTGAGAATTTAAATGTGAAAATATTATCGAGAAAATATTGTGACACTGACGTTAGTTTTTTTTCCTCCTTTTTGTGACCTCGTGATTTTGACACGAATACCATGTATAAATTAAGGTAAAACTAACACTGAAGTATATATTAATATACATTGAATTACCTAGTACACTAGGTAACCAGACTACTTATAAACATATATCTCCAAATATCATCATCATCAACAGCCTATATCAGTCTACTGTTGGAGATAGGCCTCTCCTTAGACAGGAGGTTTTGGCCTACTATACCACGCTGGCCAGACAGGGTTGATATAGGGTTTGTTTCAAGTTAGTATTTCTCCTTGAAGTGCTGTAGTCCTACGTAGTTTGCTCCCTTCGTCGGCTCTTACGACACCCACGGGATGAGTAGGGGTGGTGACATTCCGTATTCTTAATCCGTCACCTCACGGACTACACCATACACCATGCATACATCTATATATAAATATTGTTGGGTTGTTTACGCTTCAAAAACTCAAAAAGCTCTGCACCGTATGAGCTCAAACTTTGACATGGTATAAGGTTACACCCGCGTCTAAGATTGTTTTTTATAAATTTTCCCCTTCAGTTTTGTTCCTAATCGAAGCGCGGCTGGGTACATCTAGTTCGATATATACAGAGATTACATACAGAAACAGAATAAGCGAACGTACTCATCACACGATTATTTATCCTGGGTGGGAATCGTACCAACGACCTCCTGCGTAGCAATCAGGGCCATTTACCACTAGATCAACAGGTTAGTCAATAATATTATTTTCTTCTTTTTCAGTGTATATACTTTTTAGAAAGCAAACTGCGCGAGTTCTGCGTGCTCTCGAAGACGTTAGCCGACATGTTGATGTCTACAGACTTCTGCGACATCGCCACCCTCACGAAATCTTTAAACATCGACGTCAACGACGTGCCTCTACTGCTGGCTGTCGCCACCACACACACGCCGCAAGTTGCTACCAGATACGGACTGAGTTATGGATAAAATACTGATTGTTTGTAAACTCAAGGCCTTAAGTGATTAGACTTTGACTTAAGTACGTTGTAATGTTAAGCCTATTACTAAAACATAATACCACCATAGTATATTAATATTTTCTTTTATAATATTAATTAATAAATACGAGCTGTATCCTGCCACGCTTCGCTCTGGCACATTATGGTTGCATTGATTGGAAATGAAGAACAAAACTAACATGAAAATCAGATAAAAACAATACTTGAAGTGGTTTGTATATCGTAGTAAAATTTCCGCTCAATTGACAGAACTTTGAGTTTTTGAAGTGTACACAAATCAACATAACATTTATACACACACATATATATTTTGTACCTTTACTATTATATAACAGAAGTGTCGTACACCGTGGTAGGAGGCGACCGTCACTGTTAATACATATTATTGCAGATTTGCAAATCTTTTAATTTTTTTTGTCTTATCTCAACTTGCTTAACCTGAGTCTGTACAAGTAAACCAATCATGTATTTCATTGTAAAAATCTAACAAGTCTATTCTCCTAGTAGAAGTTTTATACCGCCCGATGATTATTTAGCAAACCAAACCACGTAGTCAGGTACAGCGAACCTGTTGAACAACGGTATAAAATAGTCTACTTGGCAATGAATCACTCTTTTGTAGTTAAAATGTGTTCTGTCAATGTAAACGATCCCACGTTTTGAGGCCTCTACACCTATAACAATATTATCTCAGATCTCAATTCAAGTGAGTTTCGACAAAGAGCCAACAATACTTGAACTGTGAACTTTAACCAAATCCCTGACAGCAATATATTAATAATTCAACAGATGATTCTCTATCTGAAAAATCTATCATATCACTGGTTACGTAAACATAATAAGATGTCAATTGTATAATATTTCGATAAGTGCACCAACTATAATAATATAGCGCTTTAAAATTAATGATTCAGTATTTAAAATGACATTAATGAAAAACTTTAAAGGGATAAACATATCGGGAAAAATATATTTATTAAACTTGTTTATATTCCTCTGAAAGTTATGTTCAAGTTAATATTAATATGTAGTCTTTGAGTAGTAACGCTGAAGTCGATGATACAATTGTGTAATGTAAACAAGGGTGAAAGAGGATGTAAATGTGTATCTGTAAGGTTAAATGTGGATGTAATACAAAAATGGGTGCGTAAGTGAAGAGTGAAGTAAAGTAAAAATAAATTGAAAAAAGGTATTTCATGTGATATGTAATGAATGTGATGTATCATGTATAAGTATTTAAAAATGATTTACAATAGGGGTGAATAATGTAAGGGTGAATATGGATGCCATCTTATTTTAGGGATGCGAGTGTGTTTGCTGATGTGACTTTTCCTAGCAAAACAACAGATTCATATGTTTGTGACCGAGGCGACATAGAATAGACACCGGTTATTCCGCAAAAATGCTCGCTTTATGAGTGATATTTATAGTTCTTAAATCACAAAAGGAAAGACCATTTGTGGTACGTGGTCATCACGCCATATATCATATTGTTTCGAACAACTGTGGAAGGGCCGGCGTTGACTGACTTATTTCAATGAGTTTAGAATTCATATAACTTTGTTTCAATAGACTCATATTAAAGCGCTTTGCCGTTTCATTCCAAGGAAGGATTGCCGCGACGTACTACCGCGTCCCACGAACCGCGGCGATGGGTAATACAACTAATACAAGCCCTAAGTAATACAAGCTATCGATATCTAAGACAGAAGAAATTGTTAAAACACAATTTTATATCGACAACATAATTTAAAAAAATACCACAGTTGTCATTATCTTCTTGCCCCTTTCCCAAAATCATTTGGGCTTAGCGCCATGACTTTTCTTCTTCCAGTCTCCTCTATCACTCGTCAGTTCACTGCTTACTCCATTTCTAGCCATATCTTTAACACAGTCCATCCATCATTTCTTGGGTCGTCTCTTAAACAAATACAGCAGTGTAAACATTAAATAAAAACAGCATTTAAAAAAAATAATAGGCAATGCATAAACTTTGTTTAAAAACTCTCATCTATTTCAGATATCAGTAGCTTGACATTTAAAGTAACAGAGTTGTTATTACGGGTTAGCGACATGTACGAATAGTAAAACAAAATCGCACACCATTTTGCATGTCTAATTATTCGATAGAGGTAAAGACAAGTGCGTATATGAAAAACGTTCTGTAATTAAATTGTAATGATGGTAACAAAAATAGCTATGTATAGTATTTGCTTAACCGTAGACCTAATAATAATTATTTTATACGACACTATTCTAATATGAATAGAGAACTATTAATGATAAATCTTTAATCGAAAGAGTAATTAATAGATGTCAATACAATTGGATCTGTGTATTTTTTTGGGATGCCGAGCAAGTTACGATTACATATATTTACACACTAACGGATATAATATCCACATATATCTCCCCAAACAGGCAGAGACTAAACACCCATAAACTGTATAGAGACTTTAATTAAGTTATATACACAATGCCTATAATCTACAATAATAATCACTTACTTCTAAGGGAGTTCTATGCACTTTTGATCCCTAGGGTTATCATAAATTAAAATTCATATAGCTTATATAAGCACTTCGCAAGACATTTGTAAAAAATAATAATTTGCGGTAATCTATCAAACCAAAATGAACCTACAGTATAATAGATTTAGGATAGAATTACGTACCACCACGTAATTCATTACACCAAACTCCTTAACAATATAAGGCGTCAATGAGATTAAAAAATAAATCGTAGCTCGTAAAATAATGTTGAATTAAATAAAATTGACCTCATATTTATAATGTTTCCTCTAATTTGTGTATAATGTGGCAGCAAGAGCGTTATGTTACCTACAATGTTAAATATTTAATATCATGTAATCGAGTAATCAAGTATGTAAATATAAATCATTTTTACTTAAATGAACTTGTAATTATTATCAGTAGAAAAATCACTAAATACTATGTTATTTATTCAATTGATAGTGGCGCGGAAATCTGTGATGTACCTATATGTAATTTTAAAATCTGTATTTTTTAAGTATGACGGACTGAGTACACTGACGTGACGTGAGTAACGAGTCCGGACGCTGGCTGATGTGATCGTCACTAAATTCTTTAATGGATTTGGATATTGCCCAGCGACTCACTAATTCCGCGCATAGTTGACTTTGTCCGTTATAGAGTATCTATTGTGATAAATCGTAAAGTAGTATCTGGAAGTATGCCATTGTGATTTGAAATCAGTTGAGATGTTTAAAAGGTCTCCTCATTGTGATAGTCGATAAAATATTATAGAATATCTAGATATTGAAGGTCGAAGCTGCCATTTAATATTTGTTTTTTTTAGTACATTTAACGTTTAATCTTTGCGTGGGCAGCAATGGGCATTGACAGTTATGGTGTAATTTAATAACATTCTATTTACATCAAAGACTACAATCGTTAAGGTTGGTGAGCATGCAGCTTATAAACATTTGCGAATAAAAAATCGTATTGTTTTTAGATTGATCTAGGGCTAATTGAAATAAAAATTAAGAAGACTTATTAACCATGAAATGATTTATCAAAAACAATTGTAACATTGTAATGGTGATTGGTTATGTTTAAATAAAGAACAATATCTTTAGTCAACTACAAAGCGTAATATGCTTATAATGATTTAAACATATGTATAGTGTTACAAAACTTGAAATGTATTCATGTTTCAAATATTGCACACTAATATATTATTTTTATTGAGAACTTTATTTCAAAATATAAATAGTTTTTTGCATGCAATTCTGTCGATGGCAGGTATAACAACCGTACGGTATGTTATACCACAAGGAACACCATGTTTGTCTGCATTATTCAATCAAGACTGACCAGTACACCGACACCACTTGTATCGCTAATCTCTATACTGTATGTCTCGGTATACCGGTGCAATCTTTTTCAGCGATACGCGTAACGAAATGTAACATACATATTCTAAGAAGGGGCTATTTACTTATGCCTCTCTTGGGACCAATGACTAAAGAATTGAAAAAAGAACTCCTTTAATTTGGCTTCTGAGTTAACTTTTTATTAATCTATTTTTTTAAAGAAAAATAATCAACCGAAATGCATGAAGCGGTTTAAATTATGTAAGTAAATTTGTTTTATAATCTAAGAAGGAATAAGCAGCAACTGTGACCGACAATGCTTTAAATGATTAAATGTAACATGTGATTTTCCAAAATGTAAACGAATCTAAAATGTGATTTATAAATTAGTTAAACCAGTATCAAAGATCAATGTTGCATAATATGTAAGAATACTAGACACAGATGTATATATTATGTCTACCTGTACCTATTTTTGTATCAATTATTACCTGAAGCTATTTGTAACTTAAGTACCTTGTCTGTTTAGCATGAGTGTGATTATGTACCTAGATATATTTAAATCTCATTTTAAATGCAATGAGCTATCAATTTTTATACTTTAATCTGCAAATAAATTATTTTTTTCATATTGAATCTTTGTTTTAGTTACGCACTGCCAACCCATTGACACTTTATGAGCTTCTACCCTTTCACAAATGGAATCTAAAAAAGAGACTAAATTAGTGGAAACTACCTACCCTCATAAACCCATGTTGTTTTGCTGTAATATGTTGGTCTATATGACTACTCAAAACAATGCATATTAAAGATTTAAAAATCTTTGCAAAGTAAGATAATATCGAAACTGGTCTATAGTTACCAATATTAGATTTATCACCTTTTCATACACCGGGACCATCTTAGCTTTTTCCACTCGTCAGGAAAAGTACCAGTGGTACTTTTCCTGTGGCAGTGACGAGTGGAAAAAGCTAAGATGGTGGTAGGATAGCTCTTTAATTTGTCCTTGAGTAGTGACTCAAGGACAAATTAAAGAGCTATCCTCTTTTCTCTAAGCGGTGCAGACAGTGCAAGTAAGGCACGGGTTTTAACGAAAATAGTTGGGATCCCAT